AGTGCCTGTCCTGAAACATCCTTGTTTGCTGAGGGGGAAATGGACAAGAGGAACTACATGAGCAATTGGGACGAAGCTCAAACAACCCGTTTTCTGGACCTACTTTCTGCATTCTTTCTTTCTTCAACAATTCCGAAGTGGCCACCCATGTAGGAAATCCCTAGAAAAAGGGGCAAAAGATGCAAACTGCCATATGCTAATTTATATGTATAGATGCACATTTAGAATTTATTATAAGAGTTTTTATAAACGTTAGTGATCATTAGTTTACACTTAAAGCAATAGGCTGGACACATTTTGTCAGGCTGGAAATTGAATTGTTTTGATGGAATTACAGCTGATGAGATTTTTGCTTTTTTATGAATGTGTTTAAAGGCTGGTGCCATATGCAACTGCTGACCCTTGGCACCTTCCTTTCCTATATCCGCTTTCCTTTTTTATGGTTTCTTGTGAAAATAAATTTAAAATATTTTTAAAAAGCTTTTATAGGCCATCCGTTACAAGTGTCTTGGGACAGTTTACAAGAAAAAAAAAAAAAGACAAAACAAGGCACTGCATCCAACATCCAATTTAAATTTATATATAACTATGTTCCATCATCATATGAAAGATCACCTTTGCCATAAAATGTACATTCACCATCTTCTGTCTTTTATTAACTTTTGGGATAGATAAAAATCTGAACTTAGATAAAAGAATTAATTATAAGAAAGAATGCTTGCCTTGTGCATAGTACAGAAGGTCTGAGTTCATGTGATCGGCAGGAATGCTTGCCAGTTGCTTAGTTTTTAATTCTTTCTTTTAAACTGGAATTTTACAGGGTGGTTCTTCCAGCAGAGGGCAACTTCAAAAAGAGGAAGGGCCTCTGGAAGACCTTCAACAGAGACTTGAAGGTCTCTGTGGAAGGTCTCCTTAAAAGGATGCAGTGGAACCCTGTTTTCTACATCCTCAAAGACTGGGGATGTTCTATATGAAAACATTGTTAGGGTACCTGTGACAAAGTGCCTGACAGTTGGACCCAAAAAAGCTTTACGGTTCAGAGACCCGCTTTCTTACAAGTGCACCCCAAAGGTGCTTGGACAGACTTGGAAAATGATTGAATAAATGACAGCTGCATGAATGAAGTTTGCCTCTGTTGCAATCTTGCAACCTCTGGACAAATGAATTAAAAATGCACTTGGCCAAAACCATTCAATGCCCCACCACCTGCTGCAGGGAAGGCCTGGGCAGCAAAGTGTGTGGGGGGAATGTTCTCTCCCCACTCCGCGGTGCGCTATTCATACTTGCTAAAGTACACTGGGAAAATTTAATTGATCACAGTCGTCTCATTAGATTTGCAGTATCAAACTGCCACTTGGACCTCCCAGGTAACAGCGGATGCTCCCGACATTAGTTGATTGATTAAGGAGGAAAGAAACGGCAAGCCCAGCTGTTTAATGTTCCTTGTTTAAACGGTGGCCGATGTTGATAGATAGATAGCTCTAACATGCTGTCGAATTTGTCATGCCACAGAGAGGGAAGAAGGAGAAGCTCTCAAGTTCCTGGCTGATTTCCCTGGTAGAAACAGTACTGAACCAGGTTCTTACGCATGACCGCTGCTCTGACTGGGCAGAGAGATGCAGCCTTGCTCGCTCTTTTAATGGCTTTGCTACAAATGATGTCAATGCACCAGTTGCTTGTGGGATTATGTGGAAGAACCAACTGCACCGCTACCAGAATTCCTGTTGGTCTGTGGATGCACCGAAGGGTCTGGAAAGTATGTTGTGAGAAGGTAAGGCGTTTCTCAACACGCATGTCTCTGCCTGCTAGTTTAAGCAACATGTCCTGGCATTTGTTTACTTGGATAGAGGTTTTTTCTATCCCAAGAGGAAGGGACCTTTCCTGAAAGGGGTCTGCTTGTGGAAAGCTCTTCTGCACAATTTTGGGGGATCCCTGTCTCCCCAATACAGTTCATCCAATGGATCCAGCGTCTTTCTCAATGCTCATTGGATGCAGCACGTCCAGAACATAAAATAAAATTGCCATATGCACAAACTTTTGGGCTTAACAAGAAACTTAATGCTACTTTTGTACATGTTTGTATCAACTACTGAACTGCCTCCCTGAGACAACTTTTGCTTTTTCACTAGTCCCTAATAATGATCTGAAGGCAACTTTGCTGAAAGTAATTTCAGGCTGGGTCTGGTTAGTGTGTGGATGTGGTTGACAATGGAGGAAATGTGGGATAGAAATAAATATTTCTACCTTTCATGCTTCTAATTAAGGGTTGCATTGATGATTTATGTTACTATTACTGCTACTGTTCCTGGACTGGATTCCATGAGTTCTTAATCTGATAGCATTTTGACTGTGTAAATCAATTTTGTTTCTGTTTTCTTGCTTCAAGCAGGGTTAGAGGATCATTTTTAGCTCCCTTCCAACAATAATTTCAAAAGTCAAGTAATGCTGCGAGTCTGCATCTTCAAGTTTTACAGGCAATTGATTTGTACAACCATACCTCAGTCTTGGAAAAAATATTAAGATTACTTTGTTGATGAGTTATTAGAAGCATTTGGAAACTTCAGGTCAAAGCATAGACTGTTCACAAGTGGAAACAGGTTTGATCATTTCTCGGTTAGAAGAAATAGAAATCAAGCAGAAATGGATCCCTTCACACTGAACAACTCAGATGGAGATTACGCAGACTATTTTGATGTGACTTCCTTTTCATTGTTTGACATTCCCGTATTGGTGCCAGTGACAATCATTTGTATTCTCTTGTTTTTCTTGGGCGTTGCTGGAAATGTGACCATTATATTAATTTTTATGCATTACAAGGAGATGCGGACAACTGTTAACATGTATTTATCTAGTATGGCCTTGTCCGATAGTTTGATCTTCCTTGGCTTGCCTTCCGATTTGTACAGAATTTGGAAATACAAGCCATACATCTTTGGCAATTTTCTCTGCAAGTTTATTGTCTATCTCAGTGAAACCTGCACATACTCCACAATTCTCCACATAACTACGCTGAGTGTCGAAAGATATTTTGCGATCTCTTTTCCTTTGAAGGCTAAAACGACCATCACTAAAGGACGGGTCAAAGGTATCATTCTTCTAATATGGCTTTGTGCTTCAGTGACGGCCATCCCAACTCTCTTTCTCTTTGGTGTCGAACACCGCAATGGAAGCTTACCAGAGGAAACGAACGAATGCAAATGCAGAGAGCAAGCTGCCCATTCAGGGCTTCTGGAAACAATGACATGGCTCTCCACGCTTTACTTTTTCCTTCCCGTGTTTTGTTTGATGCTCCTCTATGGGCTGATCTGTCGAAAGCTCTGGAGAACTGCACATAACTTGGAGGGACAGCAAGCTGCAACTCGAGAGAGGAACCACCAACAGACGGTCAGAATGCTAGGTGAGTGGTAACCAGCTTGACCCAAACTTCTTTCTCAACTGTACTGGGGAGGGAGGGAGGGAGGGAGGGAGGGAAGTAAGAGAATCTGGAAAGAGACATTTAACACAACAGTCTTCAAAACAATAAATTTCACTGCACAGTTAATGGGAAATCAGACAGACAGCATGTTCTCATGATGCATCTGCTCCCCTTAAGGTGGCCGTGCACCTTCTTTTACAGAGGACTGCTCTCTATGACAGTTGAGGTGGGGAAAGAGAAAGCCTAAGGGGAAAACCAGGAGTTTGTGCATGAGAGGATTTCAGCTTGGTTCTGGAACTGATTACAAATTTCTGAGATGAGCAACCTGTTTGTCATTCTTGTCTGTCTGAGCTGCTGTCAAGCATCTCTGTCCAACTGGTCGATTTGGGGCTTCTAGGAAATAAATCAGCCAGACTCGCTCACACAAGAATGAAGTCTGCACATCCCTGTTTTAAAGGTTCAGAAATGGTTAAGGCACTTGTAAGAAAGGGAACAACTTGGAATTGCTGTGCTGAATGATCTGTCTTTCCTCTTTCAGCCGTGGTGGTCCTGGCCTTTGTGTTGTGTTGGCTCCCCTTGCATGTGGGTCGGATTCTCTTTGCCCAAGGAAATATGGTCCTCTATGAGATCAGCCAATACTTCAACCTCGTGTCAATGCTGCTGTTTTACCTTGGAGCATCTGTAAACCCAATCCTGTATAACGTCATGTCCCAAAAATACAGGAAGGTTGTATGCAAGTTTCTGAACCACGGCCGGCCGTGGCAGCCAAAACACTTCAGCAGGAGCATCAAGACTTCCGTAGAAGGTTTGGAAATCAGTTCTTTCATGTAAAATACTTCTGAGATGTGCTAGAAAAAGGGTGGTTGTCTTAACTTGCAAGATAGTTCTCTGCATCTGTCCCACAATACTGGCAATAATTAAAATGCAGTGAGGGTTAGAATTGTTCAGTTGTCCACTTCTTTCCAGCCACCCTGGCAGGGTTTGTTTCAGTTCCCTGTCTTATTTTTTCAAAGGTTTCTTTTGCATTTGCTAGAACTACATTAGCTTTGGATTAGCTGCTTGCAATTTTGATGTTTTCCATCCAAAAGCCATAACATTCACAGACAGTATGATTATATCCCCCAGGCATGAGGTCTGCCAAATAGCATTGAGTGGGCATCGAGTCCTCACTTTCCAGCCAATTAAAACAGTCTAAATGCTATCTGAATGAAACAGAGGTCAACAAAATCTTAGTTTCCATGTACAGACAAAAAGTCATGAGACGTATGGCCTGCTTTGCAGTGGTTGGCCATAACATGGTAACCCAAATAAGTGGTTTAATTGTGGCTGAATCACACACAGATCACCCTGTTAATCCATGGTTTGTTGGGCCATTGCTGGTGGCTTGTTCCCAGAGTGGCTTGTTGTGCTATGAGAACCCAGCGTGATGGCTTGTGCCAAAGGTGAGAGTCACGTGACAAGATCAATAGAAAACCTGTGCTCTTGCCAGCTGTTGGTCAGGCAAACAACACCTTTGTTCCCAGTTCCTGCTCCTGTTTTCTGCTCAGTCCACACAAATGGAAGAACTATGCAAATCAAGCCATGCTCTACTTTGACATTTGTGCAAAATTTCCCAAATTTGTGCAAGTTTCCTAATTTGCAGGTTTTGTGTACTTTGCAGAATTAAAGGTGAATTTAGTCATGAGAAATATGGGGTAAGGGGAACTCCAGAGACCAAAGATAGGAATCCATGGTTTCAGATCATAGCCTTCAGCAACATGAAATTCACCCTAAGTTTTGGAGTTCTACTCTCATCAGCTCCCAACAGCATGCTGGGTATTGTAGTCCATGCTGGGAATTGTAGTCCAAACTAGCTGAAGGATTTGGGGTTCAAAAAAGATGCTTATCTGTGGTTGTTTTGACTACTTTAATACATGTTATGTCTTCAGAAAACCTGCTGGACATAAATAGTTGAATAATGGTTTTCTTAGGCTGTTGTTAGAAGGAAAGCCCTCCAGATACTTCTGTCCTTCACAGCTCTGCTCAGCTCTTGCAAACTTATGGTTGTGTCTTCCTTTATGAAGTCAATCCATCTCATAGTTGGTCCTCCGCCTCTCCTTCTTCATCTTCTGCCTTTGATTTTTCCTAGCATTCTTTTCTTCTCTGCTGCATCTAACCATCTGATGATGTGTCCAAAGTGTCAGCTTCTGTTGGTCATTTTTGCTTCCAGGGAAAGCTCTGACTTGATTCGCTCTAGGACCCACCCAATTTTTCTCTCTTCCAGCACCATTTTTTGAAGGAGTCAGTTCTCTCTTCAATGTTCAGCTTCCACGCCTACATAAAGTGATTGTGAATACAAGAGCGTGGACAATCTTGACCTTGGTTTCCAGTGAAATACCCTTAAGTTTGTTGATTATTTTTTAAAATTTATTTTATATGCTGCTCAATAACTAAAGCTCTCTGGATGGTTTTCAGCAACACATAAAAATACAATATAAAATACAAACCACATTACAGTATTATTAAAAAAGGTTACCATAAAAGATTAAAACCAAATTAAAAACACCTTAAAAATCACAAATTAAACAAAGATTATCTTTTCCAGTTCCTTCATTGCTGCCCTTCCAAGTCTCAGTCTCCTTTGAATCTCTTGGCTGCAGCCTCCCTTTGGATTGATGAAGGAAGAGAGGTATAAACTGTCTTTCACAATATCAATTTCTCCATTGTTGACATTAAAATTGTGTACTACTTCTGAGTTTTGCTTTTTCAATGTTCACCTGCAGCTCATTTTTGTACTTTCTTCTTTCACTTTCATCAGGAGTCATTTCAAGTCATTGCTGCTTTCTGCTAGTAATGTGGTACTATCTGCATATTCTAAATTACTGATAAATCTTCTGTAAATTTCTGCTCCCCCTTCCTCTGATTGCAATCCAGCTTTGCATATATGTCCTGCATAGAGGTTGCATAGATAGAGAGATAAAATGCACCCTTGCCTGACATCTTAGCCTATAGAAATCCATTCTGTTTCTCCATATACTGTTTTGTCATTTCTCATCCACCAAATGTAAAGGCTCCCCCATTTCTTTCAGGACCATCCATAGCTTCTCACGATCCTCACAAGCAAAGGCTTTGCTGCCATCTATAAAGCAGACAGATCTATTTCTGAACTCTTTTGGTGTGCTCTAGCAGCCAACATATATTTGCAATATAATCTCAGTTGCCTCTTCATTTTTAGAATCTTGCTAGGATTTCAATATATGGTAAAATTCTTTACTGAAACACCTTGAACATTACTCTGTTTGCATGGGATATTAGTCCAATGGTCTTATAGTTAGTTGCTCCACTATTTTCAGTTCCTTTCTTGGGGCCTGAAACATTTCCAGTCTGTGGGCCATTGTTTTGTTTTTCGTATTTGTTGGCATGTTTTTGCTAGGATTTGGACCAAGGCAGGCATTACAGCTTGGAGTAGTTCTCTTGGTATCCTACCTACTCCAGGTGCATAATTCTTTGCTAGTGCTTCCAGACCAACTGTCACTTGACTTTATTTTGCAGGTTCTTCCTCATAGGATTCCTCTTTGAAAGAGTCTGCCATCCCTTCTTTTACCTTTTCTGTACAGTTCATCTATATATTGTTTCCACTTTATTTCCTCCTGGCCAGATGCTATTTTCCCTTGTTGGTTCCTCAGCATTCTTAACTAGGTTTGAATTTCCCTTTGATTTCTCGGATCTTCTCCAAGAAGTCCCTTGTTTTTGCCTTCTATTCTGTTTCTCCACAGTGGCCATTGTAATCATTCTTTTTGTTGTTAGGTGAGAGTCACTGAAAAGTTGCATTAAGGATTCTGACACCTTTTGCTTCTCTCTTGTCTTTTGCAATCACTCCCTCTGTCATTCCTCTAGGCTTTTCCCACTCTTTGCTAAAAGAATGGTCTTTTTTGCATATTCCCCCCACCCCTGCTTTCTTTTTCATGTTTTATCTTTTTTCTCTTCCCAACAACTCTTTCCCCCTACCCTGGAAACTTTCGGGAGTGGGCAACATGTGCCTTTGCAGAAGCTTTGCCTTAGACTCCAGTAATTCCTCACCATTAATTAGCACTAGTACTAGCTAGAGCCGATGGGAATTGTAAACCAAAATGAGTCTAGCCCCCCAGAGTTCCAATGAACTCAACTGTGCAAATTGCAGCGATCTTAACAGCCGAAGGGTTGTAAAAATTTATATTATGCTCCTATCCCATTTATCTGCTAATGTGAATCACTGAATTTAATAAGACTTATTTCTGGATAAACCTGCACTGCTTACTGCTATGTAAAGGATTTCATATTGTTTCAAAGGTGATAGTGATGGTGATCCAACTTCCAGCTAAATAAGCTTAACAAAATTCAAGCTTGCTTGCTTTTTCTGACTTTCCAGGTGGCTTTAATAAAAACATTATCTTTCTGCTCTGTTTGGAACTGCTTTGACTCATCCTTTTGGTCTTACATATATAGCACCTGGAAATGACACCAGGAAACAGGAAGTTGTGGTGTACATCCTTCAGTTCTGGTATGTACAGGAGAGATAGAATTAGATTAAATTAAACCCTGACTGAACTGCAGAATGTGTGTTGATTAAAGAGACAGCATTCAGTGGCAAATGGTACTTTAATTAAGCCACAGGGTTCTGGTCTGCAGTAGCCACCCATGAATGCTCCGTTGTCAGGTTGTGTGACATCCCAACCTGCAGTTACTGGTGGGTTAAGCCATGGTTTGCTCTTAGTTACCTTTGAGATGTTTAAGCACATGCAATCCAAACTGTCTAGGTTAGGATGTTAATGTCACTTATTTCTGGAAACTGAAATTAACCTATGATTTGCAGTGGACTATTGTTGTTGCACAGGAGAAGGGCAAGAATTTCATGCAGAAAAAGAAATCTCTGGCTCACATTTTGCTTTTGGGAGAATGGAGGAGACAGTAAAATACATATGTGCAAGAGAAAGAGAGCTGCCTGCTACTCCATCAGAATACCTGCTGTGACTGGCAGTTGGTTCTGCAGGCTTGCAAATGCTATTTTCTTGCTCAGGATTTGAAAATCAGACACAAATCCAGTAAACTGTAGTAGCACAGACTTCAAAGATTTGGGGAAATGCATTTGTTGAGGGAAGTTAACTTGGTGCATCATTCTGGGAAGAGGATTGCAAAGCTGAGATGTAACCACACAGAAGTCTCTTTCTGATCATTAATTGGCAAACTAATCTCCATGCTGCAAGTGAGCTGGGGCATCGGCAAATAGTTCAGCCGTACACTGTGAGTATTCAGGCACCCTCACCTCAAGGTCCCATCATATCTCAAACCTGGATTAGTCTAATGCCTGCTGGCCCTGAGGAGCAGAGGCACAGCAGCAAGTCTAAACCTCACCAGGATAAAGGTCCAGTTATGAAAAATGATGACGGGAGCCTTCCATCTCCACAGCACTTTGGAACGTGGCTTCCTGCTTCAAAGAATGCTAGATGTGGCGTGCTTTTTGCCTTGCATGAAAGCGTCTATGGCAAATACGCATGAAAGTTTCTATCTTGAGAGTCTTCGGAGTTCTTTAAACAGTAAGTCAGTTTTGACCCTTATGGTTTCTCCGCATTGTTATTCTCTTCTTCTTAAAATTCCTTGCCATCTGTAGAATCTGTATCATGGAAGCTGAAGCCATTTTTTTTTTTAAACAGTGCCTTTATGGTAAACCTAACATTTGGAGATTGGCCTTGACATGAAAACTGGGGACATGAGAAAGCATTTTAGCAGCATGACTAGTGCAGTAACTCCCATGGCCCATGTGTTCCTTCAACAACATCGGGACTTTAACCTTTATATGTAATATGCAGGAACAGGACTAATGGCAAAGGGACTCACAACTCCTCTCAATCCTGAAAACTGCGTGCAAAGAACTCTTGTGTTCTTTCCTTCAGGCTTTACTAGGACACAGCCATTTCACAACCCTGATGTGAACAATTTTATATTTTTATTGGCCATATTAAATATATTATCTATTTGATAGTTACAATTTAGTAATACAATGCCTGGCAGGTTTAACATAAGTATGAAATACAGCAAAATTACAATACAAGAGAAAAGGAGATCTAATACATTAATGCCACTAGATTACATCTATCTGGAATGTATAGTTGTAAATATAAAATTCTACATTATGCTTTCCAGTAAACATTCTGGAAATATAAACAGTTTGTGGCAATTACAAATACAAATTAAACTTTAACTTTCTAGGAAGTCACAATTTTGGTTAGTATTTATTCAGAAAACCTAATTTTAAAAAATGTATCTGACATACTATTGCCAATTCATTCAGACCCCCCCCCCAATCATTTTTGTCAGAGTTTAACAAAAACACATGCTTTGGCAACAGAAATCTGCTGAAAACAATCTATTGTTTCATAAAAAAGTGAAATATGAAAGGAAATTAAGGAGAACATGTTGTAAACGTTCCTGCAAACTAAGGACACTAACATTTGTATAAAACTCTTTCCAACACTGAAGAGGGTCTTCCATTACAATAAATGATTAACTTAAAAGTTCTGCTACAAGTAGAACAATACATTCAAACATACATTTTCCAGAATTTTTTTAAAATCAAAATAAATAGATCACAAAAGAGGAGAGTACATTTTTGAAAAAGGTTAATTTCAGATTGCACCATAAAATCTACTTTTAAGATAGTGATATGTCGTCTCGTGTGTGTGTGTGTGTGTGTGTGTGTGTGTGTGTGTGTGTGTGTGTGTTTTTCCCCCAGATGTGAAATGCAAACACAATGCTACAAACCATAAGCTATCATCATGAACTAACAGTCAGCTGAGAAACACTTTATGATGTTCTATTTTCTCAAACAGACACATGTTGAGCTAAAATGAGTTACACATTACTCCCACGGTCTCACATATAAGTGCAAGCATTCTGATGTTTCATAAAGTATAGCTGTTGAGTCCTCACCAGTATGCAAAACCTAACAAAATGCACGGCCCCTTTCACTTGACTCCGTTGAAAATAAAATGGGCGGTTTTCCAGCGTTCAAGAGAGCGTGAATCTAAAGACAACATTTAATTACTTCACAGGTACCTGCTGCAGAGGCTTGACAAAGAACAGTTCTATGTAGTGCATGATATCCACCCCCCAAAAAACAAAACACAAACACTATTCCATCCACAGCCAGACCTGTCACTGAAGGTTTTCATCACAAAACAGAAAAGACGTGAAGCACAAAAACAATGGAATATGGAATTGCTACGGAAGAGGGAGCAATTCCTTTAAAACTCATATCTAAACTTTTAGAAGAAAATTCATTTTCACATGTGACTTGATCAGTTGGATTACATTAGAAGAGCATCCCAAGAAGGGGGGGGAGGGAACAAAAACAAACCACAGTTTGATTTTCTTTTTAAATTTCACATTAAGAATAGTACAAAAAACATTTGCTCAGTTTGAGCCAAATAGTGAAACATTTATCATAAATGCACTTTTGTTCTCATTAAAGACCAAAAATCTGTGCTTTTCCTCTGAAAAAAACACTGCAGCGGTTTAAGTCAGAAGCACAGGTGTTACTGTTCTCTCAGGCACTGAGAGTGAACTCTGGGTTGGGCCAACAGTTGTTTACCAACGACAGAAAGCATTTCATTTAGAAATGTACAGTATACAAGGGGACAAGTTTTGCCACATCACATACCAATGCAGATCCCTCTGTGTGCAGATGATTTCGGTGCCTTGAGCACTTCTGATTAAAAAAAACTCTTGAGGATGCCGACGTCTTCTCCTACCACTGGCTCTTGATGTTGTGTTAAACTATTGGAACCCCAACGATTAAAACAACTCGCAAAATAAAAGTAGCACTATCGCTGAAGTGAAAGCGGATGTTTTGGTTTCGATTTTTTCTACAGTGTATCTCAAATGTGGTATGCTCTAGCAATGTTTGGTAATACAGTCCTGTTCTAAGCTTTGCTGCTGTTATCACACACGTGCCAAGACTTGGGCTGAAGTGGTTGGTTTTCCCCCACCCCTCACTTTGCTGTACTCAAAAATAAAGATCTTACTGTGAGAATAAAGTCAAGCTCTGAGAATCACAAGTGCGTGTTAAGGCAGCTTTTTCGTTTTTTTTTTTCTTTTTGCTGTTTTAAACAGCTAACCCTGATTAGAGGTTGCACAAGTGTGCTATAATAGGGATTTTCTTCTCTTCATTTCTTCCCTCTAACTTCTCCTATCCCAGGAGGTATGGTTGCTGGGGAAGGGAAGGGGAGTTTCTACCTATCCTGTCTTGCTGTTAGTCAGCAGCAACAATGGAAATGTCTGTCTTATACAATCATTCCCAGCTATAGCAATTTAATTGGAATTTACATAAATACCAAAGGCATAAACTTCTGCATGAAAAATAATAAGCTGAGTAATGCAGTCAATTCTTAGGGTCGCCTGCTTACTTGATCACAAAATATTGAATGATAACAGCAAACAAAATGGCAACTGTTGCAAAGACAACGAGAAGCAGAAAAGCAAACTGTTCGTCAGTGAACGCCTTCTTCCTGCTTTTCGTGAGGTCTGGGCTGATGTCTGAGCACTGCGGAACAAGCTCCTGCTTCTGAGATGAGAAAGCCGTGCTAGGACTGTAAGGTCCGTACAGCTCTTGCAATCCACTAGAGTCCTGATACTGCCGCCCAGCACACACCCTGAATCGATATTCACAGTTTGTCTGCATGTTCATAACACGGAATGAAGTCTCTGGTCCCTTGTATACCTGAGGAAGGAGCAAGAGCCGAGTCACCTGTTTTGGTAGAAGCGCACCTCCCCCCCCCCCCCCAGCCCCTCCAAGCCCCTGAAAATGATACACAGGGAGCCAGGAGCTCCTGCTAGTGGGGGGAGCTTTGATGGGGTGGCGCAGCGGGGGGATTTTCAGAAGCCAGGCAGAGGGGCCTTGTCTTGTTAGGGGGCGGGGTTGGATCTAGACTGACACAGAATCAATGGGCAAGCTCAGGCGACACCCCTGAATGGAGTGGACTCTGGTCCAAGGTGAATTTGGGTGGAGATGGTGGAGAGCACATTCACATTCAGGGAACTTTTACCAAAATGTATGAACATTTCTTCAAAGAAACAGAAATACACACTTCCCATACTAACAAAAAGGTTGTTCTTTCCCTCAGATTACCTGATCAACTTCCCTCCCGCTGGCAAGTTGTAAAATGTAAACGATGGCGTTGCCTTTCATAGGCGGTAAAGGCTCCCATGTCACCTCGCAGGCATTATCTCCCAGCTGATGGACTTTGGGCGCTGGCAAGAGGGAATGAGAGATCCGTGACTGAAATTCATTTTGAACACAGTGATCTTGCCCCTGACTAGTAACGCAGCAAAGCACAAGGTGTGTTCTCTTCAAGCCCCATATGGACAAAGTGACCCAATTCACACATAGCTGCAACGGAAGTTAGCTGGTAATGCTGGCCTCCTCCCAACACCCACAGGGGAGAGTCTTCATCCCGGGACTGCTCAGTGTGACGCCCGGATGCTGGAAAGCCACAGTCTGGGGCTCAGACAATGTTGCTTAGCCACCTCCACTGGGAGGAGGAGCCAAGCGGAGGCAAAAGAGCCGAGGGAACTAGGGCTTTGGTTTACTCACGACAAGCCAGTGTTAGGAAAAGAAAGACACAAACACTATCAAAACCTGACTTCTGTTTGAAGTTGCAATTAACCGGTAATAAACAAACCTATGGCTGAGCTCACTCATTAGAAATAAGTGCTATTCCTGCCTCTCTCCACACAGAATCACGCCAAGTGAGAAGGCCTCTAATTTCAAGTGTATCCTAGTTCTGTGAAGGCACAATGTGTGTGCGTTGTCTTCGCCGACCCGCGAAGCACAACAGTTGGCCTGAAAGTGTCCATTTAAGGATTTTGTGCATGCAAGTACAACACCGACTCCCTGTGGAAAAGACAAGCCACCTTTCCCCAAAAAGCCTTATCCATGCTGAAGAAGATACAAGGTGATGCTGTTTTCCAGTGCCAGTCCGGCTGCTCCTTGCGTATTCAGCATCCCTTTATACCTGATCAGCTCCCCGCCCCAAATTTCCCTGTGCCATGAGCACCCTCTGTCGAACATGATCAATGCCCTCACCTTTCAAAGCAGGTGGTGGAGATTTGGTTGTTGTGAATGCGTAAACTTCAGAAAACTCTCCCTCACCAGCATCGTTGCATGCTTGGATTTTAAAGAAGTACGTTGTGGATTCACAAAGTCGCTGAACTTTGTATGTGTGGCAAGGTCCACTGTAGACAGTGATGAATCTGGCAAATAAATAAATAAATATGAATAAATGATGCTCACTGCCTATCATTGCAACACATATGAGAAGCAAGTCAAAGTGTGCCTGAAAGCTAACTGCTCCGTTCCACGGCTGAATCATTAGCTTGGTTCTGGAAAAAGACAAACAACAGAGCAATGCTTGTGGCAAAGTTTCTGAGCTCGTATCTTTCAAGCTGTGCAACGCCCTCAAGGGATCCCGATGCTTCTTTGCACACCCACAAGATCTGGGCCAAGTGAAGCCGGAGTCAGGAGGTGGCCTTGTTTTCAGCCAGAAGGGAGGATACACCCAGCTTCCCCTCCCCTTTCAGAGGTGGGGAGCAAAAACACTGTCTCCCCCTGGCACACTTACCTACCACTGACCCCTTGTGACATGCGTGTGCAAATGCACGGGTGTGCAGGCCCAGAATGCAAGGTCTGCATGTGGATAGTGAGGGCATGACTGGAAACCAGAAACATTCGCCTTCTTGAATGTTATGGCACACTAGGCCACCTGGTGGTACCAGAGCCCATCAAGAAGGAAGGAAGGGAAGGCGCATGCACGCACGCACGCACACACACACCCGCCTTATGCACTAAGCCTACTATTCAAACTGTCCTTTCTTATTCCAGTTAAGGAGTTAAATCCCAAACAATTCCAGTCAAATCCTAAACAGTTCTTGACAGAAGAAAATGATAGAGGATATAAAGGAAGCAAAATATCTGCAGATCATCTCACCTGCCAAACTTGTCTTCCATCTGTAGGTTGAACTGTGTAGGGTTGGGGACTAAAACCCTGGTAGGGCCTTCACCCCATTTCAGCTTAAGGCTCTGGTAACTGAAGACTACACATTCCAGGTGTGGAGGATCAGGAGGCAAAGGCTTTGTTTTCGTTTTAATGGAAGGGCTGAAGGGACCAGTTCCAAGACTGTTGAAGGCCTGGATTCGGATTCTGAGAGGGAGGGATGGGAGAGAAAGTTGCCATTAGGATAAAAGGCTTTTGTTTTTCACAAAGTGTCTTTGGATGTGTGGATTTAACAGGATGGACTTTATTTTCTTTTAAATCCTCACAATGCAAATGATAAATTCAAGAGTTCCCGGCTAAAAACTACTTCGTGCATATAGGGCCTGTGCCTGACAGGGTTCAGAAGGGTTCCTACTTCGAGGACCTGCACCTTGGTGCTGGCTTGTTTTTTGCTTTCAAACCAGGTGGCATTTTTGCTGGGCCTTTACCTCACTGCACCATCTTCTCTTCGTGGGCACCTTGCAAAACAGCACGTCTGCCTGAACTTAACAGACAATACTTCTGAGGGCTATTAATTTGCCTCTTCTGCCCCCACAGCAGGGCGGGGGATCTGCGGCCCTGCAGATGAATCTGGATTACAGCTTCCACCATCCCCAGCTGCTGGGGTTGATGGGAACTGGCACCCATCTCCATTGGGAAGCTGCCCACTGCTCCATCTCGCCCAGCACCACTAAGGCTGACTGGCAGCAGTGCTCTCGAGCCCATCTTTACTATGCACGTCTAAACTTTCGTGCCCCTGCTTCTTCTTGGGGCAGTGCATTTTACATGTCCTTGGGGGCGCGTTCAGTCATGCCTCCCCTGCACGTGCCCACGGTCCAAGCTGGTGCAAGTGGACACCCAGCCTGAGGAGGAGACCCTGCCCCACCTCTTTGGAAAAACAAAGCGGGGGCATGTTCACATATCACGCATGCCTTTTATTTTGCTTTCCCACGGAGGCGCTCAGGGACATGAGACAAACCACCCAGAGAACCTTGGCTATGGACAGTAGAGAAATGAAACAAATAAGAATAAGAATCATGTGACCCAGAGTCTTCTGGTGGTGATATGGGCGGGTGGGGGGATTACCTGTATAAAGTGTCAGGTTGCAGGTTCTCCAGAACATGGCTTGTAACTCTGCCAACAGTTAAGAGCTGTTTTTCCCCATATTCTATGTTGTAGCCAATGACCTCTGCCCCATGGCAACAGGGCTCCTCCCAGTGAAGAGCAAGGCACGTTGAGAGAGGAAGAGGGGCTTCCATCTCATCTTCTTCAAGCAAGTGCAATACTGCGACTGCAGCCGGCACAGAAGCTGGGGTCGTCACCATGCCGATTTCCCCGAACAATCCAGCACCAGCTATATTCACAGCCTGAAAGGCAAATGGAGAGAAAAATATTGAGAAGGAACAGATAAGTCACAGTTTCCCAAAGTGCTGCAGCTGACACATCATTGTGTTCTGAACTGAAGCTGGAACTGCATACTGCAGATGCATGAAATGAAGCCGGAAGTGCCTGACAGGGTAAGAACGTTCCCCACCCACCCCAGGAAGAGAACGGCTCCTGTGTTGGAGTCATGTATCTCCATGTTGCCTCCTTCACTGGAATAAAGCAAGCCCAGAATGTTCACTGATGCAAAGAAGCAAAAACAAACACCAAACCAAACCAAACCAAAAACAGAGAGATACAATGTTAATTACTCACTGGAATGGGAAACAATCCTCAAGGTAAAAATTGTTAGATTATTTACAAGCATTTATTAAAACAGACACAAGAAAATAAATCAAACATACAGGTAATAATGGAAAGTTGCCTCCAAATCCTCCCTGGAGCAACTAGAGTTTAAATTCAAATTGCTTTCCTAAACCTTCTGACAACTGATCTTACATATTCAGCAATACAATGACCACATTGCAGCTTTAAGTGAAAACAATGACCCATTCCACACAGACGCTTATGCCACAGTTCAGTGTTACATGCTTGAGCAGCAGCAAACCTTAAACTCAACTTAGAGCCAGTGTGGTGGGTAAGAGCGCGGGACTGGGACCCAGGCGATCCGGGTTCTCGTCCCCGCTCAGCCATGGCACCAACTGGGTGACTTTGGGCCAGTCACAGACTCTCAGCCCAACCTACCTCACAGGGTTGTTGTTGTGGGGTAAGACTGAGAGGTGGGGGAGGAGAATTATTCTAGCTCTAGGATGTTTGATTAGTATATCTTCTCAGTCTTCCATTAAACATGTTTCGTAATATTCTAACACATTTCCACTGTTTTTCAGATAGTTTCCAATCACCCAAAAAGACAAGAGGCAGCATCTCTTGAGGATAAGCGATCTGGGCACATCCAGCATTTGGACGAACTGTGCCTGATGCTCAAAAGCCACCACTCGCTGACCCAGACACGTAAATACAGACAGACGAATAAGTCACAGTGTTTTGTACTCACAGGAGCCTTCAAGCGTTCAGACTTGTTGCTCACAAAACACAGCTTTGGAACTGAACTAATGCTGCCTTCACGACCTCTTTAGAGAAATGCGAACCCCCTTCCACAAACACTCGAGCAGGCAGATGCATCCAAAATCCATGTCTGCATACCTGAACTCTGCAGTAATATGTGGTGGCAGGCGTAAGCCCTTTCACTTCATAGCTCAGAAGAGGGCCGGAGTATATTATATGCATCGATCCTTCCACCTGGCCCCACTCCAGTCTGTATTCACTCACTTCAGCTCCATTACAGGCTGGACTCTTGGGGGAAATAAAAAACAATGCGACAAACAAGCCGAATTAAGGAATGAACACTTAGCATTTAGATCGATCATATGCAGGTGACTTAAAATTGGCGCTGCAGAATATGCTTCAATGTGACACGGAAGTGAAATAAAGAGAAATAAACCGACGCCTGCTGGTTGTGTAAGCGTTCACCTACTGAATCAATGCTTACTACAAGCACCTTTACTGACAATTACTCAGAATCTTCTTGACTAAGTCTCTGTCAGCGTTGTGCATCGAAATCCGCCAATGCTTCCTAATCCTCCGTCGAAGCACCCTATGCCAGTAATGCCCAAGTATGTGAGGCTAAAGTACAGTCACACATTTCAGTGTTATTTGTGTCTGTCCTCCCAACAATCCACTAATATGGGGCGCCAGGAACATTTGGGTAGTGGACGGGCCCAGGGTGAGAATGGACATTTTCAGGGGAGCGTATGAAGCCAGCAGGTGGCTTACAAGCAGGTGAGAGCAATAGCATAAAACATACCTGAATGAATTAGTTTAGATGGCTTGTGAGGAGGGCTGGGGCTGGCAAGGCAACAGCTGACCGGCTGCAGGGCTGGGAGGACGCATCCCTGTGGATCCCTGAATCCTGGCTCTCACCGCCACCGCTACCCAACCTCTGGGCAGGCACAGCAACAGGGGAAAGGGGCCACCACGGCTCTTCGCAGAGCCACCCACCCCCAAAAGCCCAGGCAACTCCTGGAATGCTGCTGCTCAAGAACAGCCACGCAGCAACTGTCTGCCCTGCTTGGCCAGAGGCTGGAAGGTGGCTCTGGAAGATAGGTGGGCCAGGAATCTCCTGGGACATTTCTCCAGTCTGCACAACGGCTGGCTATGAGGACAGACCCCACCAGAGCCAGGCCTGCGGCTGCAGCCTGCAGACCCAGCAGTGAACAGAGCAACGGAAGGGGAGGGCGGCCCGTGGCACCCGACAGAGCCCCCAAGCCCCTGCACTGGCCTGATAGGCCAACTACGCCAAGGGTTTCCTGTGACTCTTCCAGAATTCACAAAATCCTGTGTTCAGGGGACAAGCCTAACTTGCATTAAGCACTTGCATCCTTATTTTGTGCGTTAACAGTGCATAGGAAGTCAGTCATTATTTCTGTGAATCCACCCAGAATTTCTCCATGCAATTCTCATTTATTACAGTGACAGCTGAAGAGATAAAGAATTATACTTCAAGAAAACGTACCTCCCATGAGGCTACTACGCAAGTAGCTGTCCTACAAGTTAGCAAGGGGGTGCAGCATGGATCCGGGGGTCCTGGAGCTGTGGAAATCTCTGCTTTTTCTGAGTAAGGGCCAAGCTGTTAAGGAAACTCATGATCAGGAAAGGCTACAGGCATTCTAAAGTCATTTATAAGCTGGCAGAAATGAAAACATGAAGAATTGGGAATGTGCTTTCTCTGCCCCTTCTGCTTTGGGGTCAGCACTTTAAAAAGTTATCTTCCTTCCAACTCTGGAGCCAACGCCTGACTTCCCTGGGTTTAGAATTCAGAATGTGGTCTGGGCCCCATTCATCTAAATAAACTAGCACGATGGCTACTTTTCTACGGATTAATCCCATGCTGCTCCAACTAAGTTTGGATGATGAAAGCTTATGGGGTGAACACATTTTCCAATGCAACTCCATCGGTCACATTTTATTAGTGGAGCAAGTCAACCTAGCTGGAAGAAGTGCTCGGAATCAGAAGCAAACACAGAGCTTAAAATATTAATTCCAAAGGTGCAATCCATAATTGGCTGGCAAGCCTTTTTGTGGAATTTGGAAAATGGCATGTTCAGTGCCAAAGGAAAGCATGAGCTAAATCACTATGGCCAACGCACAGCTGTAATATACACAAAATGAAGCCAAATGCCATGCCTTCAAAGCAAAAGATGGGAACATCTCCCAAGGCTCTCCTTTCCAGAAAGATTCAAACCACAGGTAAGACACACGATTAACTTGCACAAACGAGTCTGAGTTCTTGATTTGTGCCTCTGGATTTGCACCATACAAAAAACATACGCCTCCTGCAATATCCTGTTGCAAGTGCACCAGAAGCTAAACTCTATTAAGCAATCTCTTATTCTTAAAGAGGAACTCGTTCTGGTACCCCAGCTTTGTTGGCTGCCCGAATCCAGAAGCAGTATGTTCTCCCAGGCAGGAGACCATTCACTGTGCACTCTGGCAACTGGCCACGGTATATCTGCCTGCGATCGTCTTGGTCAGAGGTTGCCATTTCTGCAATGTACTCTGCCACCTCTGAGCCACCGTCCACGGAAGGGGGTTCTGTAAAACATTAAGAAACAGATCCGTCTAAGTCAGGTAAGTGAGACCTCAACTACAGCTAGCTGCTCGCTGCCTTGTTATCTTAAGAGATACCGTCACCACCCTTTGGTGCTGCTGCTGGAAGAGAGGTCTCCTAAGGCCTGGGAATGAAGCCCAATTAGCTCCTGGGAGAGCTCCAGGGACACCAGCCCCACTCCAAAGTTAGCCTAGCCCATGTTACAGCACCTCTTGAACTAGGAACAGCACCAACTTCGGACAGGGCTTTGTTAGGTATGATGTGCTCAGTTCTGAGGTTTTTCAAACTAATGTGCTGTCTGCACCATGCTTATTTTATTTGGCCTCCATTTCTGCCCAATGCACATGATTTGTTTAGATATGGAGCAGGCAGAGGGAAGAATGGGATCTACTAGTAGATCCCTGGGTGATTTCGAGTCACCGACTAGGTTTCTGAGTCACAAAAGTTTCTGGCTGGCCTTCTACTAATCACTCATCTTTTAGCTTCAGCATTTCTCACTCACAAAATCCTTTGTTCCACTCTGCTAGCCACTCTGTGCTGTGTGCTAGATTCTTCCATTTACAGCAACTCAGATGGGGGCTTGCATTTATAGGGGGTACAGCAGACAATTGGCTACAATGCTGTGGCTCCCATTCCCCTTTCCCCTATTTCTCAAGGTTATGCTAAAAACCCAAAGAAGATCCCAGCAGCCTGACCAGCCCAGATTATACAGTAAGCCCTTTGAGGACACAATCACTGGCATTAGGAAAAACCATTTTAAGCCATGTTTTGCCCATGGGATGGGAAGCAAGGCAGTATTTTCCAAGGTTCATTTTTCCAACATGCATGGTATACAAAATCTAGATTCCCTGCTGCCCCCCACCCCCCGTTTCTTCAAGAAGTTGGCTCCTACCCCACTGAAGAGCAATTTCCTTAGGTTTGGCTTTGCCCACCAGACACGGAGAGTGGCATGGGCCAGGAGGAACAGCGGCTGTTTGAACAGTGAGTGCATCAGATGCCTAGAAAGAACACACATGCGCACAGATGCTTTAGCACACAGGTGTGGAAAGGTGCAGCGGCAGTTTCACAAGTCCTTTCAGTATCATGTTCTTTTTAAGGAAGGCTGTAACTTGGTAGTGTCCTCCACCAAGACAAATTTATGTTTTGTACCAAGAACAATGCTGTGATCTGCAACTTGCATAAAATAATTCATATTTATCGAATTTGCATAGATTTCTACATGGCTTATTCTGCTTCTACAAGGGGAAGGGCAATAAAATAGGAAGGCCCTGAAACCCACCCACTGGGACAAATCCTGCTTAATCCCCAGCTCTGGAGATTTGCACCATGTGGACCCAAGGCATGGTTTGAAGGCACATGACATGGCTCCCTTGCTGGAGTTGCACAGGGCTGGATGGGCGTCTGCCTGGGAAGGAGGTGTGCATTGGCTTTAGTTTCACCAAGCACTAAAATTAAGAAGGTGCTTGTTGCTCACTTGCTTTTGAAGTCCACAGTCATGGCCAGGAACATGGTTTTAAGAAGCAAAACTGTAAACTGAGATGCACAGCATAACGCCTCCTGTATTCTGCAAGTTTGCTTTTTGTGCTTGCCAGGGAATTGTCCTATTTGCACAGGCCTATTTTTCCAGGACTTCACTGCTCACCTGACTTTGGCCTCCTCGACCAATACAGTAAACCCTCAGTCTGTAGGAAGCCCCAGGCTTGAGATGAGTGCACACATGTTCTCTCAGGGAACCACTATAGGCTATCTCCCATTTATTGCCTAGGGGGAAAATACAACATCAAGAACAGTGCAGTCAGTTATGTTGCAATGATTGAACAACTTAACTGTTGGAACATTGTAAAGATTTGAACACTGCTGTTTTGGCTGCAGTCCTCTATTACTTCCCCTTTTCCCCTCCTGTTCGAACGACTGGAGCTGGGAAGAGGCTCTATACGGACCATCCATATGGGGTTTGATCCAGATTTAGTCATGTTATAGTAGGCTTTAAGTAGGGAGGGGTCTATCGGGCAATTTAAGAAAATGTCCTGAACGCCACCGCAAAACGTCTGCTATGGCAAGGGTGGCAAAGGACAAATAACCCGCTGAGAAGACAGTATAAGGCAACAGGCAGAGTCTGAGCCTCGATCCATCAAACAATCTCTCTGAAACCGAGGTTCTGAGTACCAACAGAAATGGATTTTGCAGCAATCCCAGCTGCTGCTAAGAAAATGTGGCTTTTTTTTTTTTTTTTTTAATGGGAAAGGTTGGCCACCTTGGAAGACACCAAGAAAGGTGGTCTGCCCAGGGATAGTAACCTGGGAAAGGGGGTAGAACCCAGTGAAAGAAATGGGATGCATTAACCAAAGACAATCTGATCCACCATAATGCTTACCGGCTGAGCCTTCTGAAATTTCTAGGATATACATAGAGATGTCTGACCCTCCATTATCCTTTGGTGGATCTGAAAGGACAAAAAGAGAGCTAGGGTCAGGGTATAACAGCTGCTGCATTATTTGAGTGATTTCTTTAAACATGGTAAAAATCAAAGTTCATGCTTTAGAGGACGGGTAAGAGCTGAACAAGATCCCTCCACTTTTTTTCCTATAACCTAAACCAAGTAACTAGGTTCAGTTTGGATGCCAGGAAGCACTTCCTGACAGTCAGGACCCCGAGGGTGTGGAATGGGCTTCCACGAGAGGTCGTTGAGGCCCCATTGGTACGGGTGTTCAAGGATAGGCTGGACATGTGCATGGTGAGCATGTCGTGAGCGAAGCTGGTTGGAGCCGGGGGTCAGACTAGATGGCTCCTTCCAACTCGCTCTGTTTCTATGTAACTACAGTTTTCAGAAATGAATCTCTGCACTGACTGCTGGAATAATGCCTGCAGATCAGAGAAGCTGTAGTTAAATTCAGAACCAAGTTTGCACTCATGTGGGGAGGAGGGAAAAAGCAACGTTCCATCTGCCTCACATGTATATACGTGCGCTAAATAGACAGCAAGCCAAGCAATTGCAGAGCCCATCAGTCCAGACTAATGCACCTCTCATTCATGACTTCTGCTGAAATGGAAACAGCACGTGCAGAGCTCTGAACTGCAGCCAATGCCTTTTTTCTTTTAGGTAGCAAACAGCAAAGGAAGCAAAAAAGAGAGTGACAATATAAAATGGAATTTTGCTTACCCCAGGTAACTTTCACAGTATGTGAATGAATCTTTCCCTTTACAGTTGGTTTACTTGGAGGTCCAGGTTTGTCAGGGCTTGTGCTGTATTCTGCTACCTCACTAGGACCACTTTTTCCTTCAGTATTATGAGCAAATACCTGCCATGTCACAAAACAGAGCGTCCATCAGCTTACAACCCACCTTCAAATCTGGATGAGCGTAAGAGCTCTGCTCGGTTAGACCAGTGGGTCACCTCACTAGGATCCTGAGTCCTACAGGCTGTCAGCCAGATGCTCTCAAGACGCCCACATGGACGCGAACACAACACCCTCCCCCACCCTGTTGCGGCTCCCCAACAACTAGCACTCCGAGGCACACTGCCTCTGTGAGGAGGAGATTTCCCAAGGCAGTGGCTGTGAAACTGCCCGGGGAAGGAGGGTTGTCCATAGTGAAACCAGTTACATGGGCAGAATGTAAGGCAGCATGGAACGGAATGAGATGAGGATCTTGTGGGACACTAATAGGTGAGAAGGCCCGGGAGTCTTCCCAGTGCTTTCTAAGAAACAGAAAGACTTCCACCCAAGTTGAAGAATATACACGATAGAGCAGTTTGGAGGTTTCTGTGTTTGCACTTCTACTCAGTAGAAGCTCAGTAGTCCCTTGTTTAGGCTATTTTACAGGAGTTACTCTGTACCCAACAGATGCAGATTTTCTATGGTGGGATTTAAGTTCTGCGGTAACACAATTTTGTCTGAACTTGGCACATACCCTAAATTTATAAGAAGTATTCCTCCTAAGGTCTTTTAAAGTGCAAGAAAGTTCATCTCCATTGTACCCTGCTTGAAAACCATAATCCTGTACAAGGAAGAGGGGAAAAAGACATTTTTCTTAAGCAATGTGGTACAACAACATAGATACGTCTAAAACATGACAACTATGCTTATTTGAAGCTAGGAGCCCTCATCCTGGCCAACTGCATGCAACCGTAACAGACCTCCACTTGGCTAACCCCATGGAACTGCCCCCAATGTTTAAAGTACATGAAACTCCATGTATATATGAACTATATACCATATTGTTATCATATTTTGTAACTGTATACCAGGGACCAGAGAATGCTTTATGTGCAGAAGAGGTTCCGGATTTGGCATCTGGCATTTCCAGTTAAAACAGAACCAGCAGAAGGGAATGGGAAAGACTCTTCCCTGCGTAGAACACAGGACAACTTCTGGAAGCAAGTCCTGACAATACAGGGCACAGTGGACCGACAGTCAGACCTGGCAAAAGGCTGCACAGGGTTTATGATGGTCTTTAGGTGTGTTTCAATAATGGTTGTTTTGCGCCTACTGGCTCTGCCCCCACTTCTACATGTTTGACATCTGAGTGGCAATCACTTGGTCCTGAGACGATTCCCTGGAAAATTCAGGGAACATACTACCAAGTCCACTACCAAGTCACCAGGCAAAGTTTCCATCTAACCCACAGGGCAGTCTCTCCTGTCAAGATATTCTTCTCATTAGCAGCTCAGTCTTCCAGAATGTATACATGCATCAAACTTACAGAACCTTCCTCTTCCATTTCTAAAATGTAGGTCAGAGAGTCATCTGCAGATATTCCACTTGGAGGACTCCATTTCAGGGATAACCATGTTACCCCTGCTTCAGTTAGCCGAGGGGGAAGCGGTGGTGGTGGGACAATTCCTATTGTGTAACATACCAATGTCTCACTGAACCCACTGGGAGAAGGGAAAAGAAAATTAGCAAGAACGTGCGGTCTTAAAGATGCTCTGCACACGTAGTTTGCATAAAATTACAAACACACAGCATTTTTACCTCATTCCAATGTCATTTTTGGCTGCCAACCTGAATGTGTATTTTGTAGAGGGGGTCAGCTTGGTGACTTTGTGCTGCTTTAAATGCCCATAGTAGCATTCCTTGAATGTGTCATTCTTCCCCTTTACAAATAAAGAAAAATGAAGTCAGAGAGTCTGCTAGGACACAGTTCTCACTCGGATGGCCAACCTACGTATGCCTGGGTTGTACTTCCATATGGAGCAGTCAATGTTAAGTTCAGTTAACAACACTCCAGCAGCCCAAGATGCAATGAAATTGTTTCTATTGTTTGGCAGTCCAAGTTGAATATGCTGGAGAAACCTATCCATTTCCCAAAAGAAAGGAAAAACTAGAGCATATTAGTTTTCATTTGCTAATGAAAAGCTCCTCTCTCAGCATTACACTGAACAGTATTATAAATCTTAAAGAAAAACTGCAATATCTCAGCTTGAGCAATTGAAATGATAAATATGACTTTAATGACACATAATTCCACTTCAGCAAGGTGATTTAAATACAATTTCCTCATAAAGTAAGGAGCTTACCTCATCCCATTCTAAAAGGTAGTTGGTTACTTTGGAGCCATTGTCATTAGTAGACTGAAAAGAAGAAAAGGTGTTATTTTGCCTAGCTACTTCAAAAGGAAAACCTCTAGCTCGCTATTCGAACCATTTCAATGCTTGATACGGAACATATACGAAAGACTTACACATTCCACACACCTTGAACTGCAGCTCCCCAAGCCAAATCTGAAGGGAAGATGAAATATTCACTGGCTAACATCCCTCCCAATGTTCTGTTTGACTTGCTCTAGGCTAGAAACTCCTGGACTCATTCAGAGACAAACTTCGTAACTCAACTTTCAACAGCCATCCAACCTTTCCTGTAATTAGTGAGCCTTCAGCCAAATGTGCAACGCATTTCCCAGTAGTGGCTATCATGGAACCATTTCCAAATCAGCAGAGGCACCGCCCCACCCACGCTTTCCTTGTTCTGCAAAAAGAAGCCTCCAAGGAGGAGGATGTGATAGCAGGCTAGTTCTGTAGATAACCAGTTTTATTTAGCACCATAAATTTTATTTTAAAAATGCATGTGTCACCACAGAGAAGCATACTAGTTTTCCATTTTCATTTTTCGCTAGGAATCAGGGTGAACTAGTCTACCTGTGCCCCATGTAATTATCATTATTTATGTCATTTCTATACTGCCCCATAGCTAAAGCGCTCTGGGCAGTTTGCAACAGTCCATAAAACAGAGACTAAAATACAATACAATATATAACATCAGAAATACAGTGGAAGTTTAAAACAGCTAAAACAGAAGAAAAACAAAGAGAGACTTGGTAAAGCACATGGGACGGGCTTTATTCTTGGCCCTCTAGATACTGTTGAGCTACAACTCCTTCTACCTCACATTAATGGCCAGGCTGGCTAAGGCTGATAGGACCTGGAGTCCAACAACATCTGGAGAGCTACTGGGTTCCCAAACCTACACAAAACGTCCCCGTACTGTCAGCCACCTAGGAAGGCCAGTGCATGCATGTGCCTCTAAGCAACTAATTAAAATCTGATTTGATTTCTAGTGGATAGAGGGCAGCTCCAGTCCTTGCAGGGCACCTACCAGCCGTCACAGAGGTCAATGCCTTACAGGGAGCAATAACTTGTCCCATGGCACTAACATGGAACTGCATGGATAAAGATAAATGTTTTCCTTTTTTCCCATGTCAGAAGGACCTACAAACCGAAGTGTATTCTCTTCCCCTAAGAAGAATTTTCTGGACTAACAGCCAGAAAGCTATGTGCTCAAGGACAGAGTAAGTTGTAAGGGATTCAAGCAGCCTAATTAATTCCTCAGCATGGCTTTCTTCTCCAAATGACACTCCAGATTCTGTACCTTCTGGAGGCATCTGAGCTTGCTTAGTCCTCGTTAGGCTGTGGGGGGAATCTTTGGGTGGTGCTATTTTTTGGAGTTGAAAAAATATTTTGTAGTTCTGTAGATGTCAGGGCTTTCCTGAGCATGTGGATACTTCCCCCTGTTGTTTCTCAAGTGCCACAGCTTAGCTCCAGTCTGGTTCTAAGCAATTACTTCAGCTTGAAAATAGAGGACATTATTGGATTTGCTCAAAGTACATTACTTACGGTGCAAGAAAAAAAATCCTTTTTCTTTTAAACCAGTTTAATCAAACATGTATGCTAAAATCCACTTTGGCTTTTAAGTTACCTTCCACTGTAAATTCAGGCTATTTTTGGTTTTGTTGACCACTTTCGGTGCAGCTGGAGGGTCTGGTTCACAGCTCTCGGTAGTAAAACTAGCCAGCTCTGAAACAACTTCCTTTGTGGAACTACTGGAAGCTGAGACTCTGTACGAGGAGAAAAAAAAGTTACAGAAAAATTTCAAGTATATAGGGAAATTGAGAAATGATGTTTGAAATGTGGTTGCCACAATGCTACGCCACACAGACTTACTTATGGGACTACATTTGGCATGCGTAACCCTCCTTCTATCAAACAGACCAATTCGCTCTTTCCTCTGAAAGAGGACTCTTCCCTGACCCACCTGTTCTAGTGCTTAGTCACAGAATTCAGTAGGTACCCTGTGGATAGCTTCAAAGATAAACTATCTGCCCCTAATCTGGGCAATCTGTCGCCTATGTGCCATCAGACTTGCAATGTAAAAGAGAGAGAATGAGGATTTTGCACAAACAGTGCAAGAAGAAATGCCCTTAGTTTTAGTTTCTAACCAAACGTTGCCCATTTCCACCTTTTCCACCACTTGCCACACTTACAAATGCTAATTGGCAGACTGACGACACACACTCTGGCCCTTATTGCACCCTCAGAGCGAAGACGTCATAGCCGAGGATAATCCAGCGACCAAACTTGAGCATCATTCTGATACGCACAGGCCAACAGAGAGGGCTCTGTGCGCCAGCTGCAGCATGTGTGCCAGGGGTCCAACACCACTCCCCTAACTCTAACACAGGGCTAAACTTCCATTGAAAATGATGCGATTTTGAAAAACCCTTCCCTGAGTAGCTTTTTTGGCACAGCTCATCCTGTCTGCCCATTCTAAACACATTCCCACCATCAAAATCATGCCACGACACCTCGTTTCTCCAACCCTAACCCTACCCTGGTGGACACCCCTAACCCTAATATAGGGCAAAAGTTCAATTGAAAATGATTCAATTTTGAAAAAGCCTTCCTTGAGTAGCTTTTTCTGCACAGCTCATCATCTCTGCCCATTCTAAACACATTCCAGCCATCAAAACCATGCCAGGACACCTCGTTTCTCCAACCCTAACCCTACCCTGGTGGACACCCCTAACCCTAAAATAGGGCTAAAGTTCCACTGAAGTGAGGGCGATTTGGAAAAGTCCTTCCTTGAGTAGCTTTTTCTGCACAGCTCAACATTTCTGCCCATTCTAAGCACATTCCAACCATCAAAATCATGCCAGGACACCTCATTCTTCTAACCCTAACCCTACTCTGGGACACACCCTAATGATAAAATAGGGCTAAAGTTCCATTGAAATAATGAGATTTTTAAAATGCCTTCCTGGAGTAGCTTTTTCTGCACTGCTCATCATTTCTGCCCATCCTAAACACATTCCAACCATCTAAGTCATGCCAGGACACCTCGTTTTTCTAACCCTAACCCTACCCTGGTGCACACCCTAACCCTAACATTGGGCTAAAATTCCACTGAAAAGAGGGTGGTTTTGAAAAAGCCTTCCTTGAGAACCTTTTGCTGCCCAGCTCATCCTTTCTGCCCATTCTAAACACATTCCCACCATCAAATTCATGCCTGGGTACCTTGTTTTTCTAACCCTAACCCTACCCTGGTGCACCCTGTAACCCTAACAGAGGGGTAAAGTTCCACTGAAAAGAGGGTGGTTTTGAAAAAGCCTTCCTTGAGAACCTTTTTCTGCACAGCTCAACATTTCTGCCCATTCTAATCACATTCCAACCTTCAAAATCATGCCGGGGCACCTCGTTCTTCTAACCCTAAACCTACCCTGGTGCACACCCCTAACCCTTATATAGGACTAAAATTCCACTGAAAATAATGAAATTTTGGAAAACCCTTCTTTGAGTAGCTTTTTCTGCCCAGCTGGGTACCTCGTTCTTCTAACCCTAACTCATTGATTGTGAACCTTTTAGAGGCCGAGTACCCAATCTGCAACCCAAAACCCACTTATTTAACGCAAAATGCCAACAGTGCCATAAAACCTGAAAACTGAGGTTTTAGTTCAGAAAAAACAACTGGCAGCCTGTCCAAGAAAATATATATATATATACCCTTGGCAGCACACTGACTGGCCATATGAAAGCACGTACGAATTGCAGCTAGGAAGTCGTGGCTTGTGACGTCCTCGCCTGGCACTACTTCACCTTTTTTGAACATGCGCCTGGCCCCTATGTGCACTGTTATCCGATGCTCGGCTTCTGGGAGATGCTGGGGTGACTTGGCTTACATGCTGACAGAGAGGGCTTTCATAGGTTTGCCACCACTGATCTAGTACCTGATGTCCATGCCTCATTTTTCATCTTTTAAATGCCTGAACTGTCTTGCAAATATTTATCCCCTCAATGAAATTATGATAGACGTTTTGAGCACATATCTGCATTATCTTTGGTCGGTATGATCACCACGACTGAAGCAATGAACAGTAAACAAACTTAAGGTACAATCCTGCCCATGTTTAGACAGAAAAAAAGACCTGGTTGGCTGGAGCAAGCTGGTAGCTACAGGTCTTTTTCATGCCTAAAAGCAAAAGGTTGCACATTTAGTTAGATCATTTGAAACTAAATTGATATCTGGAAAGCAATTTAGCCATTTCTGCAGAAAATGCACTCTCTAGCTGCATTTGTTCTACATGCCCACCTGACGTGGTAATCAGTTGCTGGTCTGAGATCAGGAAGGATAAAAGTTGTGTCTTCACCACTGCAGAGAGAACAATTTGTTAGGACACCACAACTAAGTATCTGCAACAATAAAGCCCCAAGTCAAGTAAGGATGCAATTACCTAGCTGGAAACCGATTCTCTTGTACCTGCGGGACTTCTTTCCCACGCCTGGCTTTGGCCAGGAAGCAAGCCAAGCCAATATTAAGACTGTGAACACTTAAATATACCAAAGGAATCTTTCTTTGCACTAACTACACAAAACCAACAAATCCTTTGTACAGAAGCAGAACTTGGCTTGTACAGTGAGTACCTGGGCAGCTTCTGTGAAAGATGGCCTCATGAACTTGCTTCCTGCTGGATCCCTGTGCAAAAGCCCAGCATGACGTGGACTTGGGGCAGAGAGAACGCAGGCCTGAGTCCAGGGAGCCCGGCTGAGGAAATCCAACAGGGTTTCCCCCCTACCTGGATTCCCTGCACTTTGCAAGTACAACTATATTTTTCTTGCAACTTTGTTCTAAACATTAGCCCACAGTGGCAGATTAGTACTTCTGAGGTGAGAAGAAAGATGCTGGACAGTGCACCAGTCTGTAAGAACAGTGCATCTTAAAATTCTATTCTCCCACACGTCAATTCTTAGCATTGGCCACAGCATTCAATCTTCACAGATCAACGCCAGAAAAAACCCATCAATTCACTCTAAAAATAATGATGATGAAAACAGAGCTGGAGAATAATCCTAGTTGCCATGTCAACCATAAAGGTCTCAGCTGTGACAAGTTGTGTAGTTACATGAAGAAACAGTACTTACACATAAACAGATTTAAATTTTCCATTTTTACCGCTGTTTGAGATTGCCACATCAAAAGTGAATGTTGTTGGAGTGGGATTATGAGTTTCTTCATTTTGCAATGCAACTGGAGAACTCCAGGACAGGACTGCTGATCTTGCCTGTATTTCAGAGATCTTTGAAAACAAAAGGAACAGGGTCGATTTTCAGGCTACGTGGGACATGTTAGAAGAATGTGCCTATTCTCTAATTCACTACCCCAAGTTTAAGTGCTAGGTCTGATTTCATTTTTATCCCGATATTTATAGTTCTTTAAATCATTTGTGGGACTCATCCATCAGCAGCTCTATTCCACAGTCATACACATGATGCAATATTGTCCTAGAGTCCATTAAACTGCTAATACCCTGCATTTTGAAAATTGCCATGTGGCTGAGGCATCAAACCCTCTTCTGAATGCTGAAACTGTCATCAGTCTGCAAAGTGTACAAAGGGCATCCACCTGGTACCATGAAAACTACACACCTGTTTTGTCAATGGTGTCTATTCTAAGAAAGCAAGCTTCTTCTTCCTGCCCAAATATGGGTGGGACACTAGACCAAGCCAAGGGTTGTGGGACGGTTTGGAAGCCACTTCTACTACATATCTTGCTGGGATTTAGATGACATGGCAACCTGTGTCCAATTATGGAGATGAAGCAACATGTGACGGGGAACTTGTGCGGTAGGGAAAGGAAGCCATGGTGGTTTCTTTCCCTTCCCTGAACATGCAAAACTGGTGAGAATTGCCTTGAAATAACTAGTGCCCCATCTTGCTTGAAAAACATGCAAATATTTGTCTTGTCTCCAGCTGGCACTGAGAAGCCATGGGTACTTCTTTTTCCTTGACAATGCAAATCCAGTCCATCTACAGACAGGAAGTTCCTATGGAATCTAGGATTTCCTCAGCTAACAGGATTTGGGCATGTTTTCTAAAATTATAATTATTTTAGGAAAACTCAAATCCTACTCTATATATCATATACACATCAAAACAATGTCACAGCAATTTCCAATTAAAAATGTTAACAGAACAAGCACCAACAGCACATAAAAGGCAATTTAAAAAGTAGCAGATCAGCCATTAGGAATTTGACAGGAAGATCATATGCCTGTCGTTAAGAAAAAGTCTTAACTAAGTGGGCAAAGAATGAATGAGAAGCAGCCAGACGAGTCTCCTGAGGAAGAAAGATGCACAGTTTAGAAGCAGCCACCAAGAAAATTCTTTCTTACGCTTCCCAATCAAATAGACAGAGTAAAAAATGGACCATCTTCTTTGCTATAGTTGCTATACTGATAGAATGGCTGGTTCTGAGAAAGCCCAACATGGATATTTCTGGCTCTTGGTATCATCCAAATTTAAAAGAAGTGTGTCAGTTAAATGCCATGGACTGAAATAAGACTCCAAGTAGGCAAATAAAACTCCGGGCCCCCTATTTCTGTTTGACAGTTGTCCTGGTTATATAACTATTATTCGTCTCCCCTTCCCCCTAATACAAAGTAGGTTTCAAAGCTCACAAGAATGCAAGTTAAGCAGGCTTTGTGTCAAAACTCATAATGCTCATACCAAGGATTTCAAAACATTTCTAGTCTTGAATACTGCCCAACTTCAAACACTTTGAACTGGGTATCTTACATTCAGAGAGGAAAACCTGGTGCCAGAATACTTATGGCTAACTTTTTTCTTGATGTGTCATTTTAATATCCAAGGTGACCCATATGAGTTTTTCATCAATTCACCAAGGTTTGCATGAGAAATTCATAATTTGCATCATTTTCTGTAGCTACTTCAGAACTATGAAACCTCCATTTCCTCATCCAAGGACAATGCCACATCTCCAAATATCGCAAACACTTTCAATTTCAGTCGGTTTTGTAAACAATAATGTTTGTTTTTGAAAACATGGAAATATTGTATTACATCTAAAAGACACAATTACTTACTGTAGGCTTACTGAAGCTCAAGAGGTCTTCAGACTTTCTAGATTCTGTGTCAGATTCTGACAAAAAAAAATCTCATGTTAGATGAAGGGAAAAATGAAACAAGGCCACTCTTATCTAACTGGAACCCAAACAGAGAATTTTATTAGAAGAACAATAGTACACACTGTACAAAGTTCACTGCCTTTGTTTGTCCACTGGATCTGCTAAGTATGCAAGTAGCACTTTCTTTTAGCTTGCCATACACCACCCAATATTTATGCATATCTTGCTTTTCCTTTGGAAATTCTTTACTCACTGGTGAATTTCTATTTTCCATGAGTGAAGGAAACCAGGTTGCTTGGAGATGCCCTGCCTCTGGAGCTAGGAAGGCAGGCCTTGAAGTGATCCTGCAGGAGGAAAAGCCTGCTCCAGAAGCTCTAGTTGATAGTTCTAATGACTTCAGTAGGATAGTCTTCTTCAACAATGTTGACCCATCAAGATATTAAACTACACACGCAATCTTGACAAAGGGCCTACAAAGTAGCTGTTATGGCACATTTGCTCCCATGCTTTCATGCAGTAATAGTTTAATTTAGCAGTAAAGGAATCCACCTTCTGAAATAGTTCAGTGGAAGTAAATAGGGCTGGTGGTGCAGACAAGATAGAAAACAGTATTTTGTATTGGTGAACTCAATTACTCCTGTATGAGAGTATAGATAAAAGTTTGCTTTTAACTGATCTGTGGCCCTATCTAGAAATACATATGTATGCTATCTCTCAAATAACAGGTGCACGTATATATTCTGATAGGTCCAATGAGCCCTTAAAACAACCAGAATTGTCCTTTGCTCTTAAGAGGGAGGTTCACCAATTCCTTTTCTTTCTGCACCACATTGCATATTTTTAGTGCCCGCCAATCTTCTTGCGCAGATTTTCAGCAGGCATATGAAGGACTGCAGCAGGAAGGGGTAGGAAAACTCAACTGCATATCACGCTTGAAGCTGGCTTTTCAACAGTACTCCAAACAGTAATGTTTCCAAAGGACCCTCTGTCAAACCCATTAAAATCCATGAGACATGTCTGTCTTTTCACATGGTGAGTTCTACAGGTCAAACCTTTAAGTGGGCATATGCAAAAGCTGCATTTCAGGCAACAGCTAATCCAGCAATCTTAATCTTCTCTTTTACTTCTGAACCACCAACTGCCAGCAATTAGGCTCCTCATTAAACATACACCCTGAGATATACTGTCTGTATTAGAAAAGCTCCTTTCTAACTGACAACAGCAAAGAACAATCAGAGGAGAGAGGACAGATACAGAACAGAATAACCAGAGGAATGAGTGCAAGCCTTCTAAACTTAACAGACAGACTCACCTACACTCTTGGATAGGTACCCACTGATGTTACATATTTCTGGAACGGGGTATATTGGACAAGATGTTGTGGAAATGAGATCATATATAGTTTCTAAGTACTTAATCTTCTGTACACGCATTACTGTAATCTTCACTGGATCTGGTTTTGAAGACATCAACTTCCTTTGCAACCGGTATTTTCTCAAGCTCAGAATTTATGCTGGGGAAAGGGGCAGGGGTGTGTGCGTGTAGATTAAACTATGAAAACACCCCAAATGTTAGGCGATCTCTCTTGCAAATAAGTCACTTGCATTTGTAAGAAATCTGCCCCCCACATAATCCTCCAAATATCTTGGAGGGTAAAAAACAGAGCCAACATATTCCCTACTACCAAAATGCGTGGAACAATGTTATTTGAAAGGCTGTCTGCATCTTCTCTTCAAGTCCAGAAGGAACAAAGAAAGAGTTCTCTCTTTGTTCCATTAAGACGACGCTGTCATTTCTGTGAATTTTCACTGGAAAATGCATGCAAACTACCAAACACACACTCATTTCCAAAATAATTCTTACGTACCTCCCATTCCTGAATCAGCTGATGGGATGGGGCTTCCCCTGGTTTTTCCTACTTGCTTCTGCTTTATCTGTCCTCCTGACCCTTGTTGTCCCTTTCCATATCCATTCTGAATGTTGGCGCTATTGTTAACTTTATGAGGCGAAGAAGGAGGACTGTTTGTTTTACTATTTGTATGTCCGCTAGCTTGCCGATCTTTTAGCCTTTTCTTCAAATGCTCCTGCATTTTGAGAGTCCTTTCATCTCGCTGAACAAAATTTGTTCTGCCATGGGAACGGGACTCTAAAGGGGCACCAACAAGAAGAGCCCATTAGATGGAACACAGAAATTGCAATAACTTGATTTTATTTTCTAAAGAATTATCTCTCCCCACCTTCCCTTTGGTCCCTGCATTTACGTGCTTCAAGGTCTGGATAGGTTAGACATCTGGAATATCAATAGCTGGCCCTTATAGCCAGCAACAATTCTTCAACATTAACTGTATAACTATAATACAAACTGTGTGTGTGGATGTGAGGAGGAGAAACAGGAGAAAAATTCCTGTGAGTGCTATTCTTGGTGGGAAGGAGAGTTTTAAATGTAACAGAATAAATTACTAAGTTTTCTAAGATATTATTGTGCACAGAGATGATAATGCTGCAAGTCTGCACTTTTAAGCTTCCACAGATCTACTTGCTTCTAATCCATGAGCAACGACTCCAGCATCCTGGGAAGGATAGCATGGCCTTACCTACCAGCACGAGAACCAACAACCACAGCAATCCTTTGGCCTCTGCCTCATAGAATGAAATCTCCATTACAGATGGTCACAGCTAAAAACTGATCCCATTTCTGGGGTGGGGTGGTCTCGTGCACACGGTGGCCAAGATGAATAGAGAACCCCCTTCCCTTGTGTGTCCAACCTGCAGCACGCTTTCGACAGCAAACTCTATAGTCACTCTCGCATTCATGTTGTGAGAACGTTGTGCAGACTCAACACTGAACAATGGGTGACAAGACCCTACAAGGAGCAGCAGGGGCAATCTCTAGACGCTCAACAAGCAGACTGAGCAACCTCCACCAGGAGAAGCGGAATTGTCTTCAGCTTCTACTTTGACTTCTGCGAACGGGGACTGATGGCTATGTGTGGCCTGCGAGTCGCTTGCATAAAACAGGTGCTTGGCATACTCATCTGGCAGCAGCATCCTTTTGCTAATGCTCAGCTGAATTCCTACCCTGTCACATAGCCATGGGTTCAGCTAGTCCACAACTAAGCAAAAACCTGATGCTTAAAAATAACAGTAAATGCACCTGAGAGAACATTCATTCAAACCACCCACTACTGGCTCAACCACATCCATTAAATAAGTCTTGCAATATTTTTAGAAAGACTCAGGATTAGATGATGCATCTCTCCCAACAGGGAAGCGACTAAGCACATTTCTCGACATGCCCTTGCTGCCTGGACTTTACATATGGGCAGTGCAGGCAAAAGGAAACATGTGGCTGATTTTAAAGATTGCGAAGATCAAACCAAGATGTTTTCATTGTGGCTAGAATATTCTCCCCTGATGCAGTCTAGTCAGGAACCACGCTGCTGCATTCGGCACGCCTTGGGCATTCTGACTACAGCTGAGCCAACTGTGAGGCTGCGTTTTCTCTTGCCAGCGAATGCCTTACCTTGCTCCTGATAAAGATGTGGTGAGGGAGGCGGCGGGTGTTGATGAATGAACTGCGGTGGTATTTCTCCTGTCCCTGGAACTGGAGGGTAAACTGGGTGAGGAGGATGAGGAAGCAAGGCAGGGTGTGGGTGCATATAATGGGGCACGTGTGGAGGAGGTGGATGGATGGATGGATGGAATTCAGTAGAATGCGGCATAACTATGACCTTCCGAACTCCATTTTCTTCCACCACCTGCAATGGGAAGTGAGAGAGACCAATTCGTTACTATAATTTGGTTGTGGGGGAAGGACTTACCACATATTGATGTTTAGTATTCTGGCTCCTCTTACCTTCATTCTCCCAAGCTGAAGCTGAGTTTTGTGTTTTTAAAATTATAAATTGTTTGCTGCTTTTTCAAAATATCTAATGAAACGAAACAAATCTCATCTCGAATGGTAACCTTGTTAATTCACCTATTCAGACCGCCTTGAAGATCTAATGGAGGGGCAAACCCAAGATGCACATGCTGTATTTGATTTTACTGCAATGATGTTCAAGCATGCCACATCTTTGGCTTGATTGCTGGTGTGTCAGACAAAACAACTTGCAGAAATCAAAATTCAGCTACAAACACATCGCAAAAAAGTACTAAAGAAGTATTCTTTGGCAAAGTTTGCCTCTCACACAAATTCTTGGTGGGGGATGGCACGTTTACCATGAGATAAGCATCAAGCGTTTGTAACCTGAAGCAATGAATGGCTACAGTATAACCATTACAAACTTAAACCTAACCTCACTGCTTGCAGAAGACATGGTACAACATGCATTCTTTCTGCCAACATTTCAATTTGTAACAGTAAATAACTGAAACCATACTATCATCTCCAAAATCTAATTACACTTTGTGCCTGGGTCAAGTAATGTTACAAATAACAAAGCAATTCCATGAACTCTTTTAGGAAATTATTCTGCCTGAAGCCTGTTTAGACCTGAGCTGCCTTATGCAAAGGTCCGCTTGACCTGAGATAGTTCTGCAATAAACTGGAGCAGATTTTTTTTTTAGCAGAAATGCCTGAAATATGCATAGCATATCATGGTAGTTCTAAAGATTATCCTTTGCCATTTATGAAGATGTACAGTTGGAAGTATCTGGCATGCTTGGAAAATTTCCCTCATTTTTACTAGGTGCTTCACCATTCGCTAGTGATAGATACAATGACAGTTCGAAGGGGGTGATGACAGGGAAATCCTGCGGTAAAGTTGTTAGACTTTTTTTATTCTAAGGTAGGATTTAGAATCGGAATAGAAAAGAATCTGAAATGAGAAGATAAAGATATTGAATTAGAGATGGGGGGGAAGTTCTAAGTCATGAGGAGAGCCGGAGAGTGCATAAATCCAAGGCATTCAGGTTGAAAATGAACTGGAAATGAACCCTGATACTAACCTGCCACCTTCCGCTAATGCTACACCAAGGCAGGGCTCCCGCCAAAAGCACACCTAGCTAGGGAATCTCTGTATATCCAGCAACAGGCCCTGTGCAAGCACAGAACCCGTGTGCGTGATGCACAGAGACCTGGAGGAAGATTTGGCTGCATCTTGGCTAGGATGGTGCTTTCATTTCCACAGTAAAATGCAGAGTCTATGGAAAGGGAATACAAACACTGCAGTGGGGGGCAGCAGGTTAAATGTCTGACCTGCCTTTGTCTCTGTCCCCACGGAGAATTCTAAGAGGCATCGTCAGAGGAATCTGAAGAGGCGACTCGGAAAGTTGGCAGAACTGACTCCTGCACTAGGAAAATACAAGCTAACCTTTGAGATAAAGAATAAGCTTAGGTGATGAGCATGGAAACTGCAAAGGGTGGATCAGCTGATGGTATGGGCGACTGCAAGCTTCCATTGGCCAAAGTAGGACTCCATCAAGGTGGCTGAAAAACTACAAGTGAAGAGAAACCCTTTGCAGCTACCCTGTTGCCTGAACGCGGTAAAGTTTGCTTCTGAGGAGTGTGAAGCATTGCAGAGTCAATCTTAAAAATCAAGGCCTTTTCAAAGATTCCCCTTGCGATTCAAGAAGGCATGATAAGCATGCTCCAGGTGTCTGACTCAGCGCCATCAATCAAGAGGGCTTTAACAATTCCCTCCTGGGAGCGCAACATTCAGAGCAGAGTGGTTCTGAGTCAGTGAAGCCAATTAGAGTGGATAGCAAGGCTGCAGTGCTCAGCAGCAATTTGCATATGCCTTCAGAGATGAACTCTGAGCTTGGAAAAAGGAATCTGACCGACACGAAGCAACTAGGTCCCAAAACCTGCTAGCAGATCATGCCCGTGGCGAGGACTGATCTGTTCAAGAGATTAACTTATGGAAAAGCTTATTTCTATGTGACCTGTGCCTTGCTGATACAGCAAGTAGTGCTGAAGAGGTACCAGCCATGGGAAATGGTACAAAAGGACTTGTAAAGAAGGAAGAGACTATTCAGAACACAAGTTCTGCTGCCATTCTTCTGGCCAGGAGCAGGCTGTTCAAAAGTCTGGGAGATGAAGTAACAGGGGCTACGGTTCCCCCCGCCCCCTTAAACTGAAGGATGTAACATCATGCAATTCATAATGCTTAGCACTCTGGAAATATGGGTAAATAGAAACAGACCAGCAAAGTAGCACTGTCTGAAGGCTTTTCTTGTCTGTGTCTTTTCTTTGATTTGGTCTGCATACAAAGGATTAGAACTGGGCTAAAGCAAGGTATTATTACTACCCCTGCTCAGTAATAAGAGAAGTTCCCTTCTATTTCAGTACCTGGACAAGTTATTCTTCAAAGAACCTGCTTCACAGCAGATACAGAGAAGAGCACCCAACGCTAGGAAAAAATATGGTTCCACGTCTCAACAAAGATTAAGACGTTGGGAGTATCATGCAGTCTGCTGCACACCATTATCCTCCCTTAGCCCACATAAGCCTGGCAGAGTGTTCCATATGCAGCTAGATTCATGCTGTCTAGTTTCAAAGCCTGTTTACAAATTCTGCTTTAAAGCTAACCATGGCTGGTCTGAAGCACAGTGCAGAGGCAATACTGCTGTTTAATGTTACTGAAGGAAGAGAAACTCCTGACTTCTTAGCAATAGTTAAAAGACTCAGAAATTATGTTTGTAAAGGTCAAAAGCAAAAGTCAGAGCTTCAATATAACTTTTGCATATCTGCGAGGGAAGGGGGTAAGAGATAACACATTTATTTAAAGTTTCTATAAAACATTAAGTGGGAAATCCTCTTTTTACTGGGAAATCTCTCTCGTACAAAAGGATCCAAGGATTACCTGAGATACATAGCCAGGAGGCACAAATATTGGAGGTACAGAACCATTTGGTGACATCATAGGAACATGTGCTGGACCTGAAAGGAAACCAAGCAACAGAGTGTTCACGTCTGCATGTTGTGCTGAAGTGTGTGCAGTCACGGTTCATTTGCTAATCTGATAACCTAAATGGTAATTACACACATGCATACACATTTTTCCTTACATAAAAGGTTTAAAGTGATTTTCCAGTCTCTTCAGGAGCTTTAAAATTGTGCAGACAGCAGTTCTCCAAACCACATTAAGTAAGAAGCTGCACCAAGAATGGGTAATGGCTTTGAAGGCAGAAGGATAATGGAAGCCTTTATGGAAATGACAAACCTTAGAGAATTTCCCAAACTGTTGGCAATAACCATGGAAAATGTGAATCCAGATAGCTATGTTTGAAAAACCTTGACCAGGGGAGTCATACCTCAGAAAACTAGCACCCACAATTACTGATTAGGAGAGTCAGAGAAGATTTTCAAGGGCACCAATAATCCAGCAACACCACTGGATTACTTTAGTGTAGTTTTCTTATTTCATTATAATTATATTTGCTTGATGTTATATGGAACATGTTATTAGTGCTAATATTATCTCCTGCCCGACCAAAACAACCAAATCTGAGTACGCAGACTCCCATCTATATGGCTTCTTCACGTGACGTGCAAACAGGAAGCATGCAACTTGCATCTCATGCCACGAAGAACCAGGTGGGGTGGAACTCTTGAAGTATAATTAGATTTATGGAGGAGGCTGCAACAACTATACCACTACAAAAAAGGGAGGGAGGGACTTGCTTTCCGCTTAACTATGTTTGGGAGGGCAATCTTCCTGTTACCAGGAAATCAAGCAAGCATAAAGACCTGACGGCCATTTTGGAGCTTTATTCTTCTCGGTCAAGGCTTGATTTATGTTCTAGCCAGACGTATCTAGTTACATATAACTAGATGCAATACCGAACACTTTCCTGTAAACCAGGGTTTCATGAATGGTCTAATGCTGGCTTAAAAGCTTACGCCACAGCCTGTCTGTCCATAGGCAAAATGCAAGCTGTAGTTCACCACAAAAAGGACTGGAAGTTACTAACTGCAAGGAGACAAGGCTGCAAGCTCAGTACCTACTTCATTTCTAGCATGCCAAACCAGGGCCAGACAAAACTGGTCTTTCAATAAATTGATTTTTTAAAACACAGGAGTCAGTGAGCATTGGTTTTCACAAGAACTGAATATCAACTGTCTTGCAGGGCCTGCAATCAAACAGTTTTAGACAAGGATTAACCAATCTAAATTATTCCCAGGAGTAGTCTACAATTTTCCAAAGGGACATGGTCCAGTCACTGCACTAACTACAGTTACACATTTCTGCAATCTTATCTCATCCCTCCTGACAACACTCATGACCCCCTGCTTCTTCTTTCCCTGCTTAATCACTGCATGGTTCTTCCTGCTACTAAAGCAGATAATGGGAAGCAGCAGACACAGAATAAGAAAGCACCTCCTCCTCCGCCTGGGTTCCAAATGTTTCAATACATGGAAATAGTTCAGTAGCCCAAACATGGAGAAATGGGTCTAACGGCTTCCTCTCCACTCCTCTCCACTTCTGCAGTTCTCCCAGTGTCAATACCGGACAACCATCCGGGTCACACACTGAGAACAGGGGGAAGATTTGTGGATGATGGAAAGACCCACTTTGCTGCCCACATTCCAGGAAAAGAATTCTGCTTGCTGTACTAAATCCCACAACTCAAGACAACAACATGCAGTAACTTGAGGTGAAGTTAAGGCTTTGCCACAAAAGTGCTGAATAGTTTCTTTAGGCGCTCTTTCAACATATTCCAGTTGCAGCCTGGAGGCAGGGAAGGTCTTTATCCCCTCCAGCCCCCTCTTCTTTCCTGTTCCACTTCCTCTAGAAACTGACACAGACACAGATTTGGGTGCATGGAAATATGCACAAAATTCCCCGTATGAGATCAGATTGGATGAATTTTGCCCACTGTTCACTGTGCTTGCTTTGAGGACGATTTCTACCGGGTCGGGCTAGCAGTGTGATCCGACTGCCCCTCCTGCAGCTCCCCCTGCAGAATGCTGCTTGGCTTCTCCACTTGTTTTCTTCTTATGCACCCTTCTGCATTTTACACATGCCCTGTCTGAAGACCGGACAACTGCATAAATTGCTTCTGTGGGCACAGTGCAGGCACACTGGTATAGATGGGTAGCCCTGATTTGCGGCGGGAGCTGCCTTAATGATGATGTGATCTTTCTGACTAAAACCAAGTGGATGCCTCCATCCCAAGGCGGTTCCTCCAGACCCCTTAAAGTGCTACACGGGGAAACAAGGGACCCTGCTGAACAGGATGAACTTTGCTGTGTGTAGTGGGGGGAGAGGAGGGTTATCCCCCAGTGCTGGGTAAAGTGGCCTTCTGTGAACGCAGTCCTCCTTCTTGCAGAAGGCTAATTCTGGAGCTAGCCTTACAGAGGTGGGACAGTAAATCTGGAAGCATGCATTTCAACCAAGGAAGAATATATGTAATGTCATGATACATATTTCTGGCACAACCCTGTACGAATTCTTTACCTTGAATACACTGGATGTGTCCATCTTCAGTTCTAATTGTGAAAGTCTCTCCTGGGTTTACTTGTACAAGGATAACCTAAGAACAAGAACAGAATGTTCAGTCCCATCTGAAGGCAACGTGTTACTTTCCAAAAGCAAAATACACATTAGGGGATGCTAACAATGCAAGATTCACCATGAGCATGAAGTGTTTCTAGACATAACAGCATGAAATTATCGTACATGCCAGCCAGTCAGCCATTCTGTAATCTCTGGTGCAAAGGTTATTTTTTATCAACCATGGAAGTAATTCCACACAATTCCAAATTTTTAATTATGGCATACCAGTCTGTCATTTGTTGTTACAGGAGGGCAAAAAAGCTTTGAAATCATTTCCCTATCTTGCCGCATGGAGGCAATTCTTTCCAGTCAGGGACACCTGGACAGAAGTATTCGATTTGTATTGTTCTGCATCATTATATGTACTAAAATAACTTTGCTGGAAAATTGACATTTCTAATTCAATTTTAGCTGTCTTCCACCAATTCTACCTGAAATATTACTGTATTACAGTTTGCTTGCTTTATTTCAATGCATTTAATGCCATTTTATATATATCTTCTAGATGCTGTGTCAGCACTGAAATGGGAAGGGCTGTCTCAGTGACAGACGGCAAAGGTCCAGACTGAATCACTGGGCTGGAAGAGAGTTTTGCTGAGACTTGATGAGCCACTGCCAGTCAGGATCAAGCGAAACGAAGTGGAAGGATCAGTGGTGAGGCTGCTTCCTTATATTCACACGCTTTCAAAATATCAGGTGCAGTTCTCTCGCATCTTCACGAGTCTATGACACCTGGAGATTTCTGAATGCTGGCTAATTGAAATGCTTTTCAGCCAGGAAATGGCTCTCTGAACCATACGTTTGGCTGTTATTATGGGCCAAGTATATTTTTGGCACACAGTGCTCTTGGATTTTACATTTTGCCCTCAGTTAGTATATAAAGTATGTTTTGTACTAAGTTTACAGTAGTAAAAGTCAAAATGAGTGGATTGTGACAGAATATGAAATTAAGAATTTTTTGTTTTTGTTTTTGCTAGCTTGTGCTTGGATTATAAATGATCTCCTCTAAACCTTTCAAGGCCCAGGTATATACATACAGCTATCTAGAAACATTACAAAGGGATCAACTAGAGCAAACTGTGCGGTCAGTGAAAGCCAAAATGGCATGTGTTGATCAGATAATAAGAACAGCAAAGGTCAATGATGAGCTAACACAAGCACGTAAAGCCGCAGCTAAACTGTATGCCCTTTACTGGAAGGCGTTCCCACCCCCCTGGCCACTCCACAAGAACCAGTAAGCCAGAAGCCTTTACGGTTCATTTGCCTTGCTTCTGACCCAATTCTTCAGGGCAGAACAGGCCCAAACATTTTACACTTGTACTAGAAGGCACGACATTCAACCAAGGATCAATTAGTTCCAAATAAAATGATAAGCCTTTTTTTCCTCTCTGCTTCTGTTCCACTCACAGAAGTCGTTCTCATTAACTGCTGTTGATCAGTATTCAGCAGGCAGGAGAAGAAAGCAAAGGAAAGCGGTAGAGGGGAGAGCAGAGGTTGGAGGTTGGGATTAGGGAAAATCATCAGGTGCAGAGGTGGAGAAAGAAAAGAGCAGGGCTAGGCAGGGGAATAAGGCTAGGGAAGAAAGACAAATAGTCATTATTTCAAACTGTACCTCCTTCCTAACCTCTAGTCTCCCTACTTCTGTCCTCAGCCCAGCTGGTCAAAGGAGAGCAAGATTTACAACTATATCTCTGGTACATAAATCCACTATTTCATTTCTTCAGAATCCTTTAAATTTCAAAAGAGGCATGTTGTTTAGCATGCTATTTGAGACACACAAGTGGAGCCTTCATTGTATGGAATGTGTCAGAAAGCCTTATTAGTGGGTTCATATGCCATGATCACAAACGTTTTTCCACTTTTATTGGATGCTACACACACAGAGAGAACCACCTACATCAGATTTTAAATATGCACATGCATCTACCAAGTTCTGCAGTGGAGGGAACAGATAATTAAAATGTTAATACAAGCCACAGTGTAAATCACTTTCCACTTAAACTCTCTGTGCATAAGTAAAGCTAAGTAGAAGCCAAGCCAAGAGAATTTACAAAGCATATATAAACATGTCATAGCTTTTCTTGAAATTGAGCAGAGAATTATTTTTGCCTTGTCTATTAGATGTACACAAAGTGCCACCTCAAAATATGTTTTACCAGAATTCCCATTTGCTAACCACTCTTCTCAGAAAAAACAATTCTGGGCAAACTTCTTCCTTCCTGAACTAACCACCAGCTGTTTCTTTTCTAAGAGAGTTTTGATCACACATGAAACTGGGACTTTAGACTTGTGTGTTTTTAACTCCAATCATCCATGTGACATAAGACTCCTTTTCAACATATAAGGAAATCTCAAAAGCAGATCAAGATATGGCTTGGCAATAAAATGGCTGCAACAACACGTCCCTTAGGCATGCCTAAAGTAGCTCCTTGGATACCATCCTTAGTGCCCAGTTACAATCTCTGCTGAAGATCTTCAAATAATTACCTGCAATTATGAATGGCATTTCTGAAATTGATTAAACAAAAGATAAAAAGACTGACTCTATTGTGTGCTCCATTATGCAATATAAAACCATCAAGCCAGGGGGAATAAATCTTAAATGAAACCATTTGGCAGCCTTTTAATTTAAACCAAGCCATCATAAAACATTAGGGTTGATACTTCCTTTTTTAAAAAGCATGCAAGAAAAACAAGGAAAACTATCCAGGAAAAACTAACTTTTAAAATATCAATGAGGAAAATCCCTTAGGAATTGCATTTACGCTGGTTATCTAGATGACATTAGAAGCTGGTTCTGAAATACCATTCTGTGCCTGGCAGCAAATGCTTGGCAGCTTTACGTATTTTCAGCTCCATGAACAAAGAGTCCAATATCTTTAGAGATCACTACATCGCATATCTAAATATCAGTTTATATATGTGGACACATCAAATATAAGTTTTAGTAGCTCCTGCCCTTAAGGGCACGGATCTGTTTATATGTGAACTTGTATGTGGATGCTATAAATAAACAAAGCATTTGTGAAACTGAGTGTTTCTTGTATAAAACAGCAGTTCTATTACAATATCAGGTCTTCCTCTCAATATAGATATCACATCAAAATATGATTCCCACAACCTATGGACACATTGACACCAGATACTTGTGTGCTTACATCTTCCGCGACTCTTGAGATTATAGAGCAATTGTGGCTTGTCCATGGTTTGTGAATCTGGATAAGATGAAGATCTCAACAGCATGGCCTCTTCTCCACTGCTTTTAAATTAGGGCTGTACCCCATTCTGCATTAGCCATCAAGTTGTTTTCTAGGATACCCACTTTGAACACACAGGGAAAGAAGAGATCTGGTACAATTACAGCCTCCACACACATTCAGAGCATTATAGGAACTTTGTTAACATTTTTCTTGAAGTTACTATAATTACAGAAGGCATTCTCCAAAGACCATGAACCTAAGCGTCTTCAGAACAGAGTGTCACCCTCTCCAACATAACGAGAAAGTGTTCATATTATCTAAGTCAACTTGCCTGTTGCGTGGTGTCCCCATTGACCATATGAGGTAGAAGTGGCACTTCATTCAAAATAGGTGTGGCTTCTAATGGAGGTGGCTGGTCTGCCATCATAGCTGAAATGACCATTCATTAATAGTTTCTCTCACATCAGCCACCTGGTAGGAAAAAGAAAAGTTCCAAATGTCAGAAAGCCTTTATTAAAGTGAGGAGAGAGTTAGCTCTGGGCTCTGAAACCTATTTACCTGTTTAGAAAAGCTCAAGAGGAAAGGGTCAGATTTCTATATGATAAAGTGGCACATCTTACCAAGACTATAATCAACCGTTCAGAAGGATAAGTGCAGCACCAGACTATGCAGAACCTGCGAGCTGCTTTCTGACTGTGATTACATTTATTTATATCGCACCCTTTTCCAATTGCAAGTAACTGAGAGTGGCTTAACATCATCTTCCTCCTCTACATTTTCCACTCACAGTATCCTGTGTGGCAGATTGGACTGAGAGTTGCCCAGTAAACTTCATGATTAAATCTAGAACTTGAATCTCTTCAGTCCGTCTAATATTCTAACCACTACAACAGCTCATTATGGAAATCAGAGTGGTACAGAGCTCTCAAACAGTTTCTCACCCGGGCACAGATATGCTCAGTTCAATGCTTTTGCTATTTCATGTGCTTTCAGACCAAATTCTATCAGCACAGGGGATCCCTAGGGGAAATACATCAACTTTTCCTCAGGGCTCTTTCCCACTAAATCACGCTTTACAATGCCAGATCCTGAGTTCAGGGAGCTGCTTGCTGGACCCATCCAGATCAGGCTTTCTAGCAGATCAGACTGTTTATCCGTGTAGTCCTGTATGGCATATTCTGACACTGGCTCTTCAGGGACTCAGCCTTTTCCACTGCTTGCTTGCTGATCATTTTGGAGATGGAAATAATGACTGTTCTGCTTGGAAAGCAACTGATCACTGAGCTACAAATCCCTCGAACTCCTACAACCCATTTCATACCACTGGGAAACATGAATCATCTGGTGGCATGGATACGTTCAGGGATAAACTGGCAACTTTTGGAGTTTGTCACTTTCCACCATTTTCATAGTTGTTCTAAAGGCAACGAGGTTGCATCTAGATGTCGGAGGTGCCAAACAATACTTTGCCTTACATGAATGAGTCTCAGAAACATGCACACTCCAATTTGGAACATTTATAGGAAATAATTCACCATGATATCAGTATTGGCAGGCCATGGTTTGCTCTTGCTCTCCAAAGCAGAACTAGAGCCACTTCAATTATGAACCTGAATTCTGCTTTTGGGGGCAGTTATTAATTATAGCTTGCTGATGCAGATGTAATGGTGCGCCATGGTTTTGTCATCACATGTGAACAAAGGCACTGTCATATCAGCCAGACACCATACTGCAGGTTAACTTTTAAATGTCTGCAAGGGTACCACTCAAGCATGCTTTGAAACTGAATTTATAATCTTGAGATTCATTTTGTTCTCTCTTTTAAGTTGCAAACTGTGAAGACTTTAAGAATAGGCTGATCTGAAAACAAGACTGGGCTATGCAAATAGGGACTGGCTAAGATGTCAAGTGCTCCGATTGAGTTTTATGAGAAAATGCAAGCAGGTCTCAGATAGCTGGGGTAGCTTTTGCCCTCCCCACAAATGTGACACCCCTGGCAGCCCATTTATACTCCTGCAAGGCATTTCTGAGCCTCGATAAGAAAGCAGGCAGGCTGTATATGGGAAGACAATGGGGTGAAAAGAAGGGCAGGTTCAGCCCTCAACTCTTTTTCAGTCCTCCATCTAAATGACTGTCATTTACCTCTAAGGGTTCGAGCTGACCCCTGCATTTGGTGATGCTGTTGCAAAACAGAACCTGGTCCACCTTGCCTTCTGCCACGGATACCAGATTTCCAAAAACAGAGCAAATGCATGGGGCTCTTCCAGGGGGTCACACAACTTACTAGCCCTCCTTCAATTTCTTCTACAACAGATACTTTGTGAGCACTGAGGTAAAGAGACAGTCACTTTCCTGTCTACAGTAAGCCAAATTTTAGTATTTGATAGTCACTTTTATTAAAGTTCTCTAGCCATAGCATTTCAAGAGACTCTCATCTTAGCAACACTGCTTTCTGTTCTCTGTCAACACATCTCAATACAGAGAAAAACACAAGGAAAAGCCCACTGGGACAGAGCCACATTGCTAAACAAGCATTCAAATTATTAGTTTAAAAATATAACCAGCTGTGAAAAACATGCTTGAAACATTTGAGTTGCAGGTGGCACCTTCAGAAGAGGGGGGAGGCACTGCACAGGTGGCATTTGGAGTTTCTTTCCCAATTTAGGTGTCTAGCACAAGACAATGCAGGTGTATTTCTGCTTTAAGAGGTTTTTTTAAAAACTTAATTGGTTGGACATGTGGGAGAGGAAGAAAAATACCTTTATGTAGTATTACTTAGATTTATAGTCTTTGCCCATTCCTAAAGCTCCAGGCAAATGATGATTTACAAGCAACACACTCCCATTAGAATGAATTAAAATTCAGTCCAATTAAAATACCTTTAAAAAAATTCAATCCAATTAAAATACCTTTAAAAAGTCCCCAGGAGCCTTCCAGTTTACCCCTCATCCCTCATACCCTTTGCAGCAGCTAGACTTCAGGAGTGCAGGGAGTTCCTTTTCAATACAGAAGAAAAACTGTATGACCCCTTACTTGAAATCTGAAGGGACACTGTCTTGCCACATTATGTTATGCTCTATATTCCAATCAATTTAAGCTAAAGCCAAAATATGCCTTCACCATAGGCATTTAACTATTTAGCGTACTTGCAAATATGAAGTTGCAAAAAAATCCTTTGGACGTGGGAAACAGTGACAGGGACTGTCAAACAGGTACTATGAATCAAAATAAATGTTGATGCATACAACTTAATATTGGGAAAGAAAATGGCTTCAATACTCCAGACCAAGATCTGTTCTACAAATGCATTTTTCACACATTCTCTTTCCCATGCTACAATTCCTCTGAATTCTGCTTCCTTGTGTATGTGGGGAAGGGGAAACCCACCTGCATGCTCCCTTTGAATGGTGAAGCAGTGGTGGGGATTGGGTCCAACCAGCCTAATCACCACCATACCTTTCAGTAAGGGGGCACTGGTGATGGCTGTTCCTTCGTTTACTCTTTACCTCTGGATGCCCCCACCCCACCCCTGGGCTCAAGCCTTCTTGCTGCACCATTCAAAGGGAGAAATTAGATGCGCATCTGGAACCTTCTGGAGAGAGATGGCAAGTCAGCAAGCATAGCAAAGAGAAAGTGTGACTTGCTGTTCCCGCTCAACCTCTTCCACTGGAGGTTATGGAGAACTGGGGTCAGTAGCCCAGCCATCACTGCATCTAGGGATGTGGAGGAATCCATACTGGGGCTGGGAATCCAACAAATTCCCTGGGCTTGACTCCCCAGACTCTAGTCTACTCTGTCATGCCCATGAATCTGAGTTTCTGGCAAGTGCTTCCAGCATCCACACAGAGCTCGCCAAAGATCCAGCCTTGGACAACAAAAAGTGTCCTCTTCCATATCATGTGCAGCAGCCTTTGTCTGTGCCCCTACACGTGACGCAAAGGCAGGCCACAGAACCTTCATTCCATGAGCACTCAAGAGCTCTTCTCGGTTTCTGGGATGAGGCTGAGCATAAAACAGAAGTCTGCAGCCTACTGGGGGATGGATTCTGCAGAGGTCTGCCACAATACTAACTGCATCCTCTCAAAGCCTCCCTCCCTATCCAGGCCTTTGTTACACTGCCTGTGGAGTGCATGAATGGGAAGGGGCGCCTGATTTCCCCGTGCAACGTGATAGGCCAACACTTCCCATAGAGATACTCAGACAGGGTGACCAAGGAACTGTAAGAAAGGGGGCTACCTTCTCTTGCATGACTATCATGCACCACCGCCACTCCCTCCTCCAACTCTTTTCCAGCCTCTGGCGAAGCGCAGGGGAGGGGAGAGGCTGAGTTTTACCATTTGATAGCCTCTTCTCTTGCACAGAACAGCTTCTAATCCACCGCTTTTTCCTCACAATAAAAGTGGAAGCATTAAGAATCCTTCCCCCCTCCCCACATGGATTTTTTTCCATGTCCCAATACAATGCCAGCAGTAAGCACTTCCTAACAACTGCCTCCATTCTTTCCTTTTTGGTTTCTCATTCCTTCTTTGTATCATCCTGTACTTAAAGAGCATATAAATAAAACTAGTTACAGAGGGGGGAAAAGTAATAAATAAATAGACAAGTTGTGTAAACTTTGCCCTATGCTGGCCTGGGTTAGTTTCATAGTGGATTCATTTGCCTTTACATATAATACAGGAAAACTTCCATACACACGAATGATTAATCCAGCCTTCCATACAATGTCAAGGCTTGCAGCATGACAAATTATTCACAGTCATTATTTACTCATCTCCCCCTTCAGTCAGCAAAACAAGTTGGGAAATGGACATATTACATTTACAGCTTAATTATAGGAATATTGCAATGTTGTTAGTGCTGCTACAACTACACTGACCATATAGCCCATTTGAATACTTGGCTACTGGCCTGCAGCCCCAAAATTGACAGTCTTAGATGTGTTGCAGCTGCTGAGTTAGGGGGTGTGTAGCTTTGGGAAGGCATGGATTTGGGGCTACTGTGCAAAACTCTTGTCTTTCACAATTCATCACTTTGCTAGGGTGCTGCTGGTGGAACCTGAAACCTGCTCCCAGCTGCAGTCTGGTTTAAAGATGTGCTGGAAGCTTTCGAGCTGCTTATATTTTAGTCATGCACCGATGTTCAGAACAAGAACAAAACATAATGGTATTTTACCAAGTCTTGGTTGCTTAGATAGCTAAAGAAGGTATATGACCAACTGTTAAATGGACTATCATCCAGAATGGCAAGTGTAGAGCATGAACCATGTCTACGGTCGCAGAAATTTCCTTTCCTCCCCT